CCATGGGTAACTGAGCAGAGCACCCAGCTACAAATGCGGAGCTAAAGTGGGTCTGCACCTTCCCACTTCTGTCTTTCCCCTTTATTAACTCAAGTCTTTTTGGGTTAGTGATAGTCAGGACTCCATCTACTCCTTTCAAGCACACAACAGGCCAGGAGGTGTTTTCTCACAACACCCACAGAGCAAGGACATACCTTCCTCCAAAGCAAAGCTCCAAAGCATAAAATTATCAAAATATGATTAGTGCCATAATTTGCCCCTGTTAGCAGGCTGGCTAGTTCAGTATCTGCCAAAAAGGTGATTTGCTGTTTCCATTAAGGTTAATTTGAAGAGTTGAGATTTTAGGTGACAGAGTTCAGACAGCCAGACTGTCTTTGAGACTTTGGGCAAGCTCACCATCTCTGTGCTTTGCTCTTCACAATGGTGGTTTACAATGCTCCTCTTTCCTCAGTTGAATTCTACTTTACAGCCTTTAATCAATATTGAAATGTTCCTCTTTGGGCAATATTCTCACACTTCTGTCTGCTGCAAGATGGCTTTCCTGGCTTTTACTTGGATGTTCTCCAGCAGTGAACATGACTCCACTACCTCTACTTTTCCCCCATCTCTAGGAGCTCTGAAGTGATGGCAAATACAATTAATTGCAGGTTCCATTGCTACAGAGATACCTAAATGACTTAGGAGTACAAGTCCTATTGATTTTCAACAAGGCTTTTGTCCCCATGTCACTTGGGCCTAAGTGATGATTTCACCATGGCTGCCTACCTCTTTACCTCTACTTAATCATGTTGTTTGCACATTCTCCTTGCACACAGCCACTGTTTTCAAGGATCCCAAAGTGAGGAACAAATAAAAATAATCGTGGCTACATGCAAACAAATCTTCACTACAAACAGTCAAAGAATAGATGTAGATTCCAAAAGAGGGTTTTCTTTGCCTAGTCCAGTATGCCTTAGATGTTATTTCTAAGCCTGGGTTTCAGCTGTACTCCTGGGGATGCTTGGTATCACTGGACCCTCCTTCAAACCTGACTTGCTCAGGACTGGGTCCATAACCATGGCCTAAAATCTCACTCCTTGCTGCCTCAGACAGCTGAGCATGGTCTGTCCAAACTCCCACCTCCTTCATGAGCTCTCAGTGTGATGAAAAGCCAGTGGGGTCTCTCCAGGCCCTTTTTACCATTTTCATTCACAGGACTGGCAAGGCCAAATCTAGGGAAATACTTCCCAGATAATAGCACATCCTACTTCACTGCCACTGCTTCATACAGCATCACCTGTAATGCACTGACAGCATGGCATGGTGCTTGCTCCTTCCATGTGAGTGTGCACAAGTGGGTTTATTTGTTTATGTGCATGGTGGGGAAGGCTGAAGTTAAAACAACAACAATAACCCCCTCAAATGTAAGATTCCAAAATAAAAAATACGTAAGGTCACAGGAGAAGCAGCAGAGGCACATGTTTGACATGTCTGTGATATTACTCGTTATTCTCACAAGTACACTCAAAATGGCTTTCTTTTCCCAATTCAACTCGGGCCATTTGCTTTCCTGCAGCCACATCACGTATCTGAAACGACTCTTTCTCCATCCTAGAGGGCCCAGAGGCAGAAATGGAACCACTGCTGCAGCATGACAGAGCTATACAGTCCCACCCAGCACCAGGCCCAATCTTCTTTAGAAAAAAGTTCAATGGGACAAAAGTAAATGGGGCAGAGGGTGCCCTTCCCAGTCCCTACTGTGCCTGTAAATGGGTGTCCTTGCCTCTACACCACAGAGACTATTTATTTGCCTCTATTAATTTATGTTTACAAACATTTATAGGGCAGAAGTTTTTCCCTCAGCACTGCATTATCCCACAGAGCCTCTCACAGGTGGTAAGCAGATCCATTGCATGGATCAGTGAGGCTTTCTGCTCACCTCTGAATCCCTGCATGTGGCAAGGATGCAAGGCAGCATGTGGTGTGTGAGAGCTGCTTCCTGAACTGCTCTCAAAGGCCTCCCCCTGCCTCTGATCCCCCTTCCCCATCTGTGTGTCTCACCCCTACTTGTCCTAGCTCTTAATTTCCTCTTGGCAGAGACCAGCTCCTTGTTACCAGTCTCTTCAACAGCTCTGCAGGGACCAAATCAAGACTTTTGTTACTCCAACTGCATCCAAAACCTCTCTGCAAAGAGCCCCCAAACCAACACAGAGACAGGAAGGGGTGGATCCATCCAAACAGCCTGTAACCAGCAGCAATGCCCATGAACAGGGCATTCTGCTTCTGGGAACTGTACCCTAACAGAAAGATTTAAAGCACTGATGGCATCACCCCTCATTCTTTTCTGTTGGAAATTATTCTGTAGCACAGGTAGAACTCATGCCAGGCATGCTGGGGACTGGAAACAGCTGGCTGCAGGAAGAGCACATGTGTGCCAAGTCTCATCTGCATCACTCAATTAGCTTTCCCCTGGCTATGGCAGAGATCTGTTCCTGATGTGCCTCACTGGACTGGCCTCTTAGTTCAAGTCCCAAGTGTTCTTCCCTGGCTCTTTGCCTTTGTGCCTTCAATGTAATGCAGCTGGACAGCCCATCCCCTCCCTCCTGTGCTGGCTGGGAGGGAAGACAGGTTTCCTGCAAAAGTGTGAGCAATTCTTGAGCAGTGAAAATCTGCACTGATAGTGGAGTGAAAATCTGCACTGGTAAGTGAATGAGGGTAAGATAATTTATATGTTGAGCCTGGAAGAAAGAAGGATTCAGGGTGACCTAACTGCAGCCTTCCAACACCTGAAGGGAGCCAACAAGAAAGATAGAGACTATTTTAAAGAGCATGGAATGACAGTAATGCCAAATTGATTTTTGCCTTTTTTTCTTTTATATATTATCTATATTCTTCATATATTTATTTGTAGCTCTGTAGCCTATCATAGTATTTGTAGCTAGTGTTTTACCTACTCTATTAGACAGTAAGACAAAATAAATTCCCCAGCAGCTCCAAGCTGTGTGGCCAAGGTTAGATTCTCTGCAAAGCCACAGTTGAAACTATTGCTGAGACATTTTCATCAACAAAGTTTAGTTCCTATCTAAAAGAGGGAGAATTCAAAGAGAATTGAACCAGGGGGAATAACCTTACCACTTATGTCTCTAACTGGGAATTCTTGTCAGATATGCTAATTTGCAAAACCTATAAAAATTGTATATACGTTATGCTACATGTGCATCTTTGGTGTTTTCCACCAGGGAAATTGTGCACCTAAGGATCCTTATAAAGATAACCCCTTTTATCACCCTAACTATGTCTGGCTCGTGGTTTTAGGGCAAAAAAGGCATCAACAGGATGAGGGGGAACAGGTTCACACTGCCAGAGAGAAGATTTAGATTAGTTATTACAAAAAAAATTCTTCCCTGTGAGGGTGGGGAGGCCCTGGCATTGTTGCCCAGAGAAGCTGTGGCTGCCCCTGGATCCCTGGAAGTGTCCAAGGCCAGGCTGCACATGGCTTGGAGCAACCTGCTGTAGTGGAAGGTGTTAGAACTAGATGATCTTTAAGGACCCTTCCAACCCAAACCATTCTGTGATTCCATGATACCACCCACAATCTGATTTGAATTGCAAGAATCCACTTCCAAGGGACACAACACTGCTCGTGTCTGATAAAAATGCAAGGCTGGATACTGTCCAAGGGCTCTCTGTAGCAGGCTGCCTGGGCACCACAAGGATGAAAAAAGGGTAGGGTGGTACCACCTACTGCTCACTGGTCATGCAATCACCTGCCACCCATGGCAGAGAAAGGGAAAGCAAGCTCAGGGATATAGGAGGGTTCAGGAAGATTAGCCTCTGTGGAGGATTTATATACATACATACATACATATATATATTATTTATCTATATCTATAAATATATATATATATATATATAAAAATATATATAAATGAGGATTTATAGCAGCTGAGGATGCAGCCAACCTCTGGGGCTTCATTCCAGAGCATGCCACTCCAACGGTGACAAACTGATGGTGGATATGTTGGTTTTTTCCCCTCAGGAGCTGCACACATGTTTACAAGGCCAGATAGAAATGCCATGTGACATAGATGTTAGAGGACAAAAACTCCTGCAGCCGAACAACAGATTCCTGCAAATAATCACGTTATTCCTTTTCTTCCACCTCTCTCTCCACATTTATTTTTGTTTGGCTCCAGATGCGGCTTGCTCCGGGTGCAAGGGAAGGCAAGAGCTGCTCAATTAAAAGCAGAGATGTCACAGGTGAAGCGAGGAGCGGCTCAGAGCTCGCTGCCTCCGCTGCGCTCCCAGTGCCATCGTGTGGTGACACCAGTGAGCACAACGGGTACCCGAGGCACAAAAGCCAACAACACTCGGCCAATAACTCAGCAAGGAGGCTCTCCCAGCCTCGTAAAACATGAAGGGAAAGCTCAAGTCAGCAAGAGTCTGAACTGAAATATAGCCCACTTCTTCAATTTACTGCTATCTTTCCTGTTGGATTTTATATGGTCATTTTTCTTGAAGGAAGAAGATTTATATTTAAATAGGTCTGGAACCATAGGTGTTTGAAAGAGTGGTACAAAAGCAATACTCACACATGCTGCATGATCACAGCAAAGCAGAAAAGCTTAAAAATCAATAGTCCAGGCTGGAAATAAAATGCAGTGTATGTGACCCTCAGGTGCAGTAAGTCAGACAAGTTCAGTGTTGAGTTTGAAAGGTAACTCTGTCCTAGGTACATGAGTTACTCATCACAGGCCATCCACATTCCCAGTCTTAGCCTCAGAGATACTGAGGATTTTCCATAATAAACCAAAACTTCCACAATCCAAGGAGCTATTTTACCAAAAAGAGTGTGCTCCAAAATTTCTGCTGACCGAGACAGTGAACTGAGTTTTAAGACACCATCATTTATTCCAAGCACTTGAATAAACTTCTCAGCATAGACTGCATCTGTGCTTACCATAGGTTTCTGAGCAGGATTCCCAGGAGAATTGTTGTGTCCTAGTACAAGGCTTTTTTACCTGTTCTCTTCCTTGAGGATCTTCTCCATGTTGGCAATGCTGCGCATCTTGTACAGGAACCACTTGTCAATGGCTGTGAGCTGGTGAATGACATCCACAGGGACTTCATCCTCCAAGGCCTGCCAAAAACAGGACAGCACCAAACAGCTCCTTTAACACACTGCACAATACACATCTAGTCTGAAAACAGCTAGCAGAAAGAAGTTATTAGATCAAGCTGTACAAATGAAATGTTCATCTACCTCCTGTCTCCTGCAGCAACGGAAACTGTGCCCCATGAGGAGGGCAGGAAGACTCCAGCCACTTCTCCCTGTGCACTGGTTCCAAAAGCTGGCCTCTGTTTCAGTGAGAGAGGCAATTTGCTTTTCACAGAGCCAGCAGCCAGACAAGCTGATGGCACCTAGGCTGGGTGGCCACTGAGAACATGCTCAGCTAACTACAGGGAGCCACATTCAGGCTGCAGTGACCAATCCTCCATCTGCACCTCTTACCTCTCAGGTTGCCTAAATCTCAAACCCACTGCCAACATCCTAACTGCAAATGTAAAACAAGAAGCTCTGGATTCTCAGATGTGAGGGAACATTTTGCTTTGGAGCATAGATTTTGATATAGCCTTGAAATACAGGGCTGAATCAAAGTGTGTGGCCTTGCATTACCTCTGAAGCAAGGTAAAGTCAGGTCCTGGGTGATGCTTGCAGCTACAGCACAGCTCTAGCTTCTCTCACTCTGCCTCAAGATATTCAAATTTCCAAGACCGAGACCATTCAAATGTCCCTTCTTTCTTGCTGGGGTTATTGATGGGCTTTTTAAAAATCAATTATTTACAGCTATGAGGTAAAAAAGAACCCCACAGAGATATTACTCACATAAGACAATGGGTTACAAAACATTGTAATATTAAAAAACCCAGCACCTCAGAGAGCCCTCAATATGATGTATTTTCTATCAATGCAATTTCTTGGGTCTCACCAGTAGTGTACAGTTACAACTCTCCTGACAAAGCAACTATAATCAACCATAATGATAATGCCAGCACGGTATCTTTGCTGAGCTAAAGTAATCAGGTTTATTAATTTCTTACCATGCTTAATTGTTTTCTTGTAGGGCAGCATCCCTGGAACAAAGCCAGAGCAATGCCATTGAAAAAAATTCCAGAATTAATCCAGGAATAAGCTTGGTCCACTGCACCCCAGCATTATGTAACTTGCCCTCCAAGTTACAAAACTTGGAGGGCACAATGTTGGCACCATCACCATGGGCTTCAGCAATGGGGAGACCTTTTGTCCACCAAGTGGACATGGGATGGGTGGCATCTCTCTGCAAAATACTGACACCACCTTCTGCATTTCCTAAAGAACTCCAGCCAGCTCTTGCAATTATCCTCTTGTTCTGAGAGGTAACAACTGCTCACTGGGATTTCCTTTCTGCTCCCAAGCAGTGGGGAAAGCCTCTAAACACATGCTTTGCTCCTTTAGAGTACCCAGGCACATACCAAGTCTTCAGTACACTATTGGTATGAGGCAAGTGGTAAGGAGTCCTTCCCATCCTGATTCTTTAGTGCTTGAGGTCACATTGCCACATTAGTGGTATCTGAGCAGATCTTTTTCCCTTTTAGGTCCATCTATTTTTACAAAACACACGCAGACTTGTACATCTTCAGGATCTCCAATTCTCAGTCAATGGTCCCTGAGCCACACATACAAACACAGGTAGCATGACCATATATCCTTAAGCTGGTTAGGACACTTTTTTAATAAAGTCCCAGGGATCTTCAAAGGAAATTGAAAAATAATGTATCCCTTCCACTCATTTGTCAGAGGAGGGGCAGAGAAAATTAATCATCTTCATCCCTGATGCATAAATCTGGGAGACAAGAGTGGAGACTGGGAGAGAAGAGTGAGTTTGCAGACATTTCTTGCTCCCTATCGCCACACTCCAAGGGCAAATCAGGTTTCCAGGCAACTGTGTAGAATTTGCTCAGGGAGGCCCTGAACTCCAATAGCTTTCCTCTCTTCAAACCAACATGAAGGAGTACAGCCAAAACACCATGGAAGCAGGAGGGGAGAAACCCAGCAGGACAGTGGGACTTTGGAGCCCTGCTCAACATCCAGAGCATCCCATCCAGCAGGGACTGAGGTTTACAGGACTGCCTTCCCACCAGGAGCCATGGAGCAAGCCTGGCCTCCAGGCCAAGCAATGAAGGGCAGCTCAGCTGCCTATGCTTTCTCTAGGGTCAGCACCTTTGTTGCTTCAGTTCCACCCTGGCTTCTCACCAAAGGAATATTTAGCTGCCTGTGGACAGCAACACAAGTGCAAACTGTACATCTGTAGTGTGGACAGTTTGGAGACCAGGGCCCTGGTGTGAAACAGAGCGTGCACCAACTCCACAGCCTAAGCCTTCTGAGGCCACTTGTACATAAAGTTAAGAGCAGCAGAAAACACCTGACACAACCTGAGCATCCCTGCTCATCAGGCTGTTCCATCCTTGCAGCACTCCCACTCTAGCCAAGGAACAAGTCTCATCTATGTCAGCCTCTCTCCTGTGCCTTCTTTTACATGACAACAGGGAGCCCCATTACAGCAGCAATAGCTCTGAATGGCAGCTGAACTCCCTCTCCTTGCACCTGAACACTTGCTGTTGTCATCATCCAACAGGCAAAGGAGAGAGAAAAAGTAAAAAAAGCAAAAAGCCTTGGAGGGCTGACTAGTGGGGAGGAGAGGAGAAAACATGTAAAATATAACAAAGGTCCATCCTGTTTCAAATGGAGCTGATGGCTAATGGGGACTTACTGTTGGTTTTTAAAGGTCAACGAGCTGGGAAGGGATTTCCATGCAGACAGCCCCAGGTGCCAGAAGCACCTCTTACTTGTACTGCTTGCCTCAGTTATTAATGGGGATGAATTTGTGTTGGGCAGAGGCTACTCTTTATAAAGGCAGGACTAAAGAGTTTTTCTTGCTTTTTCCAACAGATCCCAGTGAAAATACCAGCAGCTGGGAACACCCAGTCTTCAGTGGGACCCAAGCTCACCTTCATCTCCCCAGATGCCCTGGGTTAACAGGAGTCTAATTTTAATCTTTCATAAAATCTCTCTGAACCACTCAGAGACTCAAGAAGTAAGATTTTTCTCTCAGTCACAAGAAAAAGGCTGTAATAAAGACCAAACACAGCTGCTGAAGGATGAAGACATGCACTTCCCAGCTTGAAAAACAAGAGGGAACAGCTGGACAAGCCACACATTTATAAAACACTTTCTGATTTTTCTTCAGGCCATTTATAAGAGGAACAGCTAGTGAAAACCTTTTAACTAACACAGCACAGGCTCAGCTCCTCACTCATGTGGAGGTGTAACGAGATGTACCCACACATGAGCACAAAGGTCTTAAAGACTCCACTACACAAAGTTGGGGCATAAAAAAGCAATTGGGCATTCCCTGCCAGGAAGGTTTGCAATCTTAAAAAAAAAAATAAAAATCAAGCTATCCAGGTAAGCAGGAGCTGTAAAACACAGCTGTGCCCTTCTCTTCATAGAGGATATAGACAGATGGACATGTGACCTGCAGCAAAACCAAAGTGTTAAATTGCACCTACCTTCTAAAGTAACTAACCCCACATTTACCACATGATATACACAGGCAAACACTGAGAAGATGAAAATAGAAATAAACTTGTACCCAAGTCCCCTTATAATAGCACTCCCTGTTACACAGGCACGTTCAAGGCTGAAGTGATTTGACCAGTGTGACAGGAGAGGGCTCAAAAGAATGCTACAGGAAGCTAAGCTGGTTTAGAAGAACAGGGGATTTCTTGTCTGTGAAATTTAACATACAGTTATGTAATTCTTTTCGTTTCAAGCCCATACCAATGCAACCATTGCAAGTAGACAAGACTTGTAATGGGACTGCTCTCACACACTGCAGTTTGCCATTCTTTATCATCCTTGGTTTCAGTTCTCAAAAGGATCTTCATTTATTCCTTTCTAATCTGAAAAACTGACCTATTTTGGCACTTACACTGATATAAATCAGGGCTGAACGCTAGCCAATGTTTAGCAGACAAATTCAATCTCATAGAAGAGGAAAGTGATCCAGGTGCCCACCAGCACCCAGATATGAACTAAAGTAACAGGACACCAGAATGCCCCTGATACTGAATGCAGTGAGCACAGGCTCAAATTGTACCACCAAAAGGCAAACACATTGCCTGACCATGGAAGATGCAGAAAGCAAAAGCAAGAATCCTACTCAAAGTGGTCCCAGTGAGCTTGACAGAGGGAAGCAAGGGAATGAAGAATACTCAGCCTCTGTCACCTCAGGAGACCCAATCCTGTAGCTCAAATTCAAGGGATATAGGTATCTTAGGCTGAAAGATGTTAGTGGGAGTGTGCATTCTATTTGCCATCTGTCAGAGGTGGGGCAGGTCTCTTCTGTTCATTGGGCAGTTTTCTTTATCTCTTCCACAACCCATCCTCCCTCCAGGAGATCTCTTCTCTTCATGGCCACTGAGTGTCCCTGCATTGCTGATCAAATTCCATCATCCCACTGGGAGATGCTCTGCCCAGGGGAGGAGCCAAGCATTCCTACCTGGATACAATCTGACCCTGGGAACACCACAGCAGCCTTTGCCCACTGCATTCCCAGAGGAGCAGCTTTCTTCTCCCCTGCATTCCCAGAGGAGCAGCTTTCTTCTCCACTGCATTCCCAGAGGAGCAGCTTTCTTCTCCCCTGCATTCCCAGAGGAGCAGCTTTCTTCTCCCCTGCATTCCCAGAGGGACACCAGGCCCATCTCCAGCAGCCCTGGAGCTTCAGAGGAAAACTCCCCCCTTGTGCAGGATCCCTGCTCCAGAAGAACCACAGCTGGCACTGCAGGAGGGCTGAGGCACCATGGGATGGCACTGTGCCACCACCCTGACACACAGGGCATGTTCTGACTCTGTCAATGGTTTGTTTTCTTTTTTGTACTATTGCATTTGTATTTTTATTTTCCTAATAAAAACTGTTATTCCTATTCCCATATCTTTGCCTGAGAGCCCCTTAAGTTCAAAATCATAACAATTCAGAGGGAGGAGGTTTACATTTTCCATTTCAAGGGAGGCTCATCCCTTTCTTAACAGACACCTGTCTTTTCAAACCAAGACAGTAGGTCAAGGTCTTTCTATCTTTTGTTACCTTGGCTATTGCATATATCCGAGTGCTGGATGGCTCAGAGAGCTCCTTCTGGAGATCCACAGTGGCTGGCCAGGCTTTATTCATAGGCAGCTGTGAAACAAAGCCATCCACTGAGGGGTGGCACATCCTCAGGGCCTTTTGGAAGCTCTCCTCGAACGTGCGGCCGATAGCCATGACCTGAAAGGGAGAGCACATCCACATGAGCCACACTGAGCCAAGCCTGGCTGTGCCCTGAGCAACAGGGTGGGGAGAATTCCAGCCACAAACACAAGCACACACAGGCATGGCAGCCTTGGGACTCCTCCCTAGGATAGTCCTGCTGTCTGAGCCTTGGTAACCCCACTTCTAGATCTGACTCTGCTCATGGTATCAATGGGGAGTTCCAGACAAGTGACTGGTTGGTTTTTTGGTTTTGGTGGACTGCAATTTTGGTTTCCATTTCCCTGTCTGTAACACACAGGAGAATGCTGCTCTCCTCTGTAAACTGCTTTAAGGGAAGCACTCTGGTAGAGGGAAACATTATGCAGCAGCATGGGTATAGTAATATAAAAGAATATTTCTGTTTAACAGCCTGTTAGAGATAGAAATTCACAGTGTGAATTTTTAAGTTCAGGAGAAACCTTCTCCTGCTTCCTTTAAATTACATTTAACAGTAACTCTCCCCTGTGAGGGTTCTCTTAAATGATTACTCCTCCTTGGCATAGCAGCACTGAAGGGGTTTCCCTCCTTCAGTCTTGACAACATATCTAATAAGAAAACAAGCTTTTCTGTCTAGAAATCTGCGAGGTAACAGAGTTCTTTTTCAAACTTTTACATTTTTATTTCCCAGTGCAGTGACACCTTAACAGCATAAAAGTCTTCTCAAACACAATGCTGAAAAATGTCAAAAGAAAAAATAACATCGCTTTCTCTTTTCTCACAGCTCCAGGCCCACTGCCCAGCACAACAGAGCTCAGAAAAAGCCAGGCCAGACTGTTCAATTAATAAAAATGCAGTAGGTGCTGCAATCTGGCTTCAAGTTCAGGCCTGGGGAGATGACTGCTCCATACTAATAGAGACACAGGGGCAAGAAACTCTGTGCTTCAAAGACTCCATCTCCTACCCACAGGTCCTGCAGATTAACATTCTTGCTCAGCTCCCCCACCAGCTGCAAACTGCATCCCTTGGGCTTCTCCATCCCTGCTTCAGCTCACCTGCCCTGTTAGAGCACTGACTCTCCCTGTATTTCTGTCCTGCCTGGAAAAGGACACAGATTCAGGCCCTTCTGTGACAAATGAACACTGGAAAGACTCAACATCTCCTTCTGCAAATGTGTATGGCCAGGAAGTTCCACAGCTGATGGTGCAACTGTATTTAGGAACTCCAGTTCTACAGAACAGCCCCAAAACCCCTAAGCAGAGAGGGTTAATATCATCTCACTGAAAACAAAAAACCCACCTCATTACCATTAAAAGCCAAACCTGCCAATGGAAGATCAAATTAATTTTTCCAGTTCTGATGAAGGCTTCTTGTTCAATGACAACAATGATATTAAAAACATCTTGCATGTCAAAATAATTTAATAAAACAACTATTTGAAAAGACAACTGAAAAAATACAAAATTATTTTTCTTTGGTAGCTGATATTTAATTAACTTAAGTGGGTAATTTAAATGATTTTGTCTTGTTCCCCCTTCTTAAAACATGGTCTGAAAATAGTGCTACTGTCCAGACATCTTAAAATCTGATGTAAGAGACTTCATCTCTAAAAGAAGGCAAAACTTGAGAGTAAGATGACAATTTGTGTTTGGATTTCAAGGCTGAGATCTAGCACACGGTTTTAACATAGAGAACAAATAATTCAGGAAGAACTGAAAGCTGTGGCTCATGGGCACCAATGAAAATCTTAACATACTACTACTTCTGAAATTGTACTGTAATTAACCACCACTACAGAACCTCAAACTAAAAAAAATAACTCTCAGAGCCCTGGACTGAGTGTTAGGAATGAAGTCAACCCCAGGTGATCCATAGTGATCTCTTCCTTTAGGAGTCAAACCATACCGTGATATCCAACATCACACAGTCCTAACTAATTTCCATTAATTATAGTACTGGGTAAAAATAATTTGAGCTTAATATATATCCTCCAATTCATTAGGTCTTTGAAGATAAACACTCGGAGGGTTTCCAAGTAAGAGAAATGGCTTTCCCAAGTGGTGGAATGGAAGGGGAGAGCGTGGCACTTGCCTCTCCCACACTCTTCATGGAGCTCCCGATGCGGTTGGAAGTGTGCTGGAAACGGTCCAGGTCCCAGCGGGGTATCTTGGTCACAACGTAATCCAGGCTGGGCTCAAAGCAAGCAGAGGTTTTTCCTGTCACCACATTCTTGATTTCTGGCAAGGGAATGCCCAAGGCAATTTTGGCAGCAATGAATGCTAATGGATACCTGTCAGAGAGGAGAAGCAGAGAACAGTAGAGTGGAAAGAACTTTGTGTTTGCAAATCCCAGGAGTGGATCCAGTTAAACAGATGTGAGGTGACCATCCCTCCTCAACACAAGGGAAGGCTCCCGTGCTCAAGCACAGCAGGACCCACCCAGCCTCCTACCTCAACACATTGCAGAGCAACCTCCCTAGATCTGGGACTTGCTTTTTTTATCCACCATGACACCCCTTTCAGTAGCTGTCACATCCACTGTGAGCCCACTCTAACAGATGTTTAGCTGCAAGTCTGTCATCGAGAAAGAAAACAATCAAACGCCCACCGTCCAACAACACGGCTTATCTCCAGCCTGCTATGGGTCTTAAATAACCATAAGAGTTGTTGAGAACTGCAAATTAGAGATTAATTTGTGCCTCTCAACAGCATCTGCAAAGTGCAATTAAGAAGCCAATTTTTAAACAGCCTGCTTTGACCATCCTTATCTTGATTAGTTTATGATTAGCCAACAAAACAAAGGCAGCTAGCAATGCCATTTGCATCAATCTGACAGACAGCTCATTAATAACTCTGCCCTCTGGGTCCCAGAGATGATTTGCAGCCAACATATGGATGCAGTGGATGTGCTTTGCAAGGATTAGGCTCCCACACACATGCCTCCTGGGAGCTTCCCCATTTGTAGTAACAGCATCAGCAGGCTGGAATGACCTGGAGGGCTCACTAACCCCACCCTCCATCTCCCAGCAGGACCAGTTCTCCAAGGGTCAAACATAATAGATGCTGACAAGAGCTGTTCTTAGAAGCTTCCCATGCTGAAATCTGCACCTTACTGACCTGACTGCTCCAGAGTTCTCTCTAACAGCCGACTTCAGTCTTCCTTGATGAAAACGTGGCTACAACTCCATGTTTTAACTACATGGAAGGCAGATGCTGCAGCTATTTTTCCTGGTAGCTGTCACCTACTTATTTAAATAATATATTGATCCAAATCCCTTCTTCTCTCTTTCTGTTCTGCTCCCCTCAGTTTTTCTGTTTATTTATTTGTTTGTTCTGGAACATTTTGTTTTTTTTTTAAATAATCTTACCCTGTTGCCTTGGAGGCCAAAGCTGAACTTCTGGAGAGTCTGGCATTAACTTCAATGATGTAGTACTCCAGGGAAGTTGGATGCAGAGCAAACTGGATGTTACATTCTCCCACAATGCCCAAATGTCGGACAACTTTGATGGCACGATCCCTCAGCATCTGAAACTCCTCATTATTGAGTGTCTGGCTTGGAGCCACCACAACAGAATCTCCTGTTTGTCACAAGGTAGCAGAGAAGGAAAATGAGAAGAAATTGTGGCCACACAAGTCACTGTCTCTACCAACCCACTACCAGTAACAACATTACCAGAGATTATCACTTGTGCATGCACAGCTGATGAAAAGCACAGCTAGTCAGAAGCCCAGAGCTGGAGACAGGCTAGGGAATCTTATGCAAAACACAATCACAGGTAGGTTTAATCGGTTTCAAATCTTATCTGGCTGTATTCAGGACCTGAGCAGTATTTTTCTAGCCCACTTGATCAATCCCAAAGCTCTGTCAACAACACCAGGCAGAACAGGACTGCATATAAAAAGTCACTGAGCCAACCCTTGCCCAAGCCTACCTGTGTGGACTCCCATAGCATCAATGTTTTCCATGTTGCAGACAGCAATACAGTTATCAGCAGCATCTCTCACAACTTCATACTCTATCTCCTTCCAGCCAACAACTGACTTTTCCACCAGAATTTGGTTAGTCATTGCAAATGCCTGGGAATAGGTTAGGGAAAATAAACACCAAAAAAACCACACAACACTCCCCCAAAAGCCTGCACCAAACCCCTTATTAGACTATATTGCACATTTAAGACTTTTCTCCAGACATCCCAGACCAAATGAAAGATGAAAATAAGTTCATAACATTGAGAACAAGTACTTTCTATTTCTCTCTTTCTTAAAAATTGCTTTACTGTTATTTGAAAGGCACATTTGAAAATATGTATGTGATACAATGGGGAAAAAAGGGCTGGGCGTGTGTGCCTGCAACAGTATATAAATAACAAATAGGAATATAAGAATATTTAAGGCTTCAATCATGCAACAGACACACTTTTATGTGGGCAGCCCCAAGGACTTCAATAGGAGAGCAGTGCAAAAAGCAAAATGACTGAGTGATGGGAGTGTAGGTGCCAGCAAACAGTATGTAATTAATAGCATTAATAATGCTGCTTGTCATTGGCATACTAACCAGAGGCAAGGGTCATGATTTATTCTTGAACTAATCTTGAAAGTATTCCTCAAGCACATGAGGCAAAAATGAAAAATACAGTTTGTTGGTAAATGAGCATAATCTAGTGAATACATGGCTTTAATATTAGCAGATAGAAAACATTAATCAATACTTGCTTAAAACCCTAGAAAGTGATGGGCACATTATCAATCCATCCTTTAGCAAAGCTTCTTGTTATAATGCTGCCCATGAATTGGCTCTTCAGTCTGCTCCCATCTGTCCTTAACTCAAGCTGTTACTTAAACCCTGCCCATAGCTCAGTTGCCAAATTCACACATAAAAAAAGAAAAAAGGTTATTGGAATGGCACTTCACACTGGCTTAACCAGACACTGACCTGGATGGGGATGTAGCAGGAACACCCAACCATTCCTGCAAACCAGCCCTGGATGCTCCTGTATCCTTCTCCCACTCAATGAGCAGACTCAGGAGACACAGCCTCAAGGCCCAGGTTAGCTGAACTAGCTGTGCTATCAAACACCCAGTGCTCAGTTATCTGAGTTATAAACAGTTCATTCCAGTGCCTGAAAGTCCAGTTCACTGAATTACTACAAATCATAACTGCTAGGCTGGAAATAAGCATCCAAATTCGAGTTAATTCAACAAGACCCAAATTGCTTTTCACTGTAAATTTTGAAATATCAATACTGAACTGGGAGGTGGTGTAAACTCTCTGAGGGACAGGAGGCCTTGCAGAGAGATCCAGATCAATTTTAGCATTAAGCCATGATTAATGGGATGACATTTAACAAGTAGAAATGCCAGACTTCAAACTTAGAATGAAGCACCACCTGGCAGAAGTAGTAACTGGGAACAGCCCTGCAGGCAGGAACCCGAGGGTGCTGGTAGGCAGCAGGCTTACTTTAAAAAAAATAAAATAAACAACCACAATGTGGTGATCAAAATCAGGTTTTCCTGCTGAAAAAGGTTTTGATATAAATCTGTCAGACAGCTGCACTCCCAGTGTTTATGGGTGAATTTCTGCTTCCTCTAAACACAGCCTATGAGTTAGCCTGAGCAAGTGACATGTTTCCAGCCTCACCATGGATCTGTAAGGTGGAATTCCTGCCCCTCCTGCCTCCCCCACAAGTGCCAGTCCTGCCCCCTGAGCCCCCCAGAGCTGACCCTACCCAAGCAGTGTTTGTTCAGCACTGAGCACACCAGACCCAGGATCTGTTTGCATGACAGCAGAGGTGGGGAACACAAAGAAGTCATTTGCATGTACAGCTCTTAGTGACACCTGCAGTATTTCTTTCTAGAGATCAGTGAAAGATTAAGAGGCTCAGCAAACCAGGGAAAGACAAACCCAAGAATTCTGGAGACCCTTAGAGATAGTTTTAATTCATGAAATTCTGCATTTTTGACAAGGAAAAAAAGCTTTTGATTTGTTTTCCCCAATTATCTGTTAACTTTTCACAGCAATGTTTAAACAATCCTGGATTGTCTAGAGAAAAAGACCTGTCTTCCTAGCCAGAGACAGCTGGTAGTTGTCAAATTATGAAGTGTCATCCTGCTAAATGAGCTTTTGACCTAGGAGAATTACCATCTTTTGACAAAAACACAGAAGAGGCCCAAGCCTTCCAGCTTTCTGTCCCTAAGACCACATTATCACTCAGCACTTCAAATGTTTGCACTTCCTTGACACAGTTCATAATAATTTACTCTTGGAAGTAGGTGAATATAGACCAAGGTATTTCCTTTAAGACCAAAACTGCTGAAAAACTTGCTCAAATTATGTCTTGTCTTGAATTTAAAAGATGTGTCATTGAGTTATTTTCACTACCTGTCAGCAGGAATGATGAAAAGAGGGCAGTTCCTAACCAGGGCAACATTTTACAGATAAGATGAAATGTAAGGTATGTACAATCCCAGTGTCTATGACATTAGAATAATATTTAAGAAAATCAGATCTTCAGATATTCCCCAAATTTGCAGTTCCAGACATACCTTTGTACCAAGGTCCAGCAAACTTTCCTTATCAGGACAAATTCCAGACCCCAGCCCACCAAGGGCATAGGCAGAACGTATCATGACAGGGTAGCAAATCTTTTCAGCTGCCTTCAGAGCATCTTCAACCTTACAGGAGAGGGGAATGCATTTCAGAAAGAGATAGCAATTCAGATAAATAAAGCCTTCAACTCTGGTTACAAGGTTAACTGGAAATCCCATCAGTAAGACACTAAACTGTCTGAAGATAAAATTAAAATAATAGAAGTTCACTTTATAATATTCCCTTTTTCTGCCAAATAGCAGAAAACTGGAACATGGAGGTGATTTCTGCCCTTAGCTGTATGTGGACTTCCTTGCTGACCTGCATGGACAATGTCCTTACATGATCTGTCTACAGAGACTCCAGCATGAAATAACCCCTCCTAAAGACATCCCAGTTTAAAACCTGTTTGGTTTCCTCCAAACTTGAACAGACCTTTCCACCAAACTGAATTTTATGTTTTCATACTCCCATCCTCAAGAAAGATTTCAATCATGCTGATTTTGAGGATGTCCAATCCTAATTCTAAATGTCTTGTATATGATTTAAGAAAAGTACCCCTGACATGCCACATACTTTTGTGCTGCAGCACAGGAGTCACCCCAATATAATTTACTTTTCTTGCCAATTGGTAAATTAGGTTAGGTTTTTGCAGTGCTTAACTGCATTTTCACTCATTTTAAATCATGGTGACCCAGCATTAATCACCAAGGAGTGCTGTACACACTCCAGCATCCACAGTTGCATTCAGCTTTCACTCTACAAAACCATAAATATTTTTACTAAGTCAAATGGGCAGCAATAATAGCAATCACATCTTCAAATTTATCTGATTTACCGATTCCACTGCAAGGCTGGGAGCAATCTTTTCATTTAGCTCAGTTAGTTTGTCAGAAAAAAGCTTTCTATCCTCTGTAGCCATGATGGATTCTACTGAGGTACCAAGGACCTTCACACCATACTGCTGCAGTACCCCTTGCTTGAAGAGTTCCACTCCTGCAGAGGAAACCAAGACACAGCTCTGAGGATTGAGAGTAAAGGAAGAATCATAGAATTAAAGGAGGACAGAATGGTTTGGGTTGGAAGGAACCATAAAGTTCATCTCATTCCACCCCCTGCCATGGGCAGGGACAGCTTCCACTACCCCAGGTTGCTCCAGGCCCCATCCAGCCTGGCTTTGGACACTTCCTGGGATCCAAGGGCAGCCACAGCTTCCATGGGCACCCTGTGCCAGGGCCTCACCACCCTCACTGAGAAGAATTTAGAAAATTTAGAACAAAGATAGTACTCAAAAGATATCTGATTAGCTGACAGCTTGTCTGGCCTCATCCACAAGTAATTTTATTATTTTTGTCAGAACTCATAACCATAAATTTTCCATCCTCAAATCCATGAAACCTGGGATAATACTACAGTTACCAGTTAGCCACCACCTGCAACACAGAGCAAAGCAGCACAGATGAATATTGGAGCAAGAAGTTATATGAAGGTAACATTTCCTTTTGATCTCTGCCTCAAGGTGGTCAAAACATCCCAAATCCAACTATGATTACTAAGATTCAAGATGAAAAGCAGGACATATGAGTCAATTACCAAACCCAGCAATTAAACGTTAAGTTCACAGCTTAGGAATGACTGACACCCCCATGGTTGGAATCTCTGCCTCTGTCCCTCAAGTAGCCTGGCCAATGTGTGAGGTTTGGATGCCTGCAGAAATAAAACCTGCAGAACATGTGGTAGAGTCATAGAATCATCCAGGTTGGAAAAGACCTCTAAGATCAACAAGTCCAATGTTAACCTAGCAGCACTATGTACACCATTAAATCATGTCCCCAAGTACCACAACCATACATCTTTTGAGCACTTCCAGACTGATTCAATGCCTGACCATCCTTTCAGTGAAGAAATTTCTCTATATATCCAAACTAAACCTCCCCTGGTGCAACTGGAGGTCATTTCCTCTGGTCCTGTCCCTTATTAGTGTACTTGTTATGTGGTAAAAACCATGATTTAGCCTTCATGGAGTGCCAAGGCACCTGTACCACACTCACCACAGTTGAGAGCAGTCTGGCCACCCATGCCCAGGATTAATCCATCAGGATGCTCTGCCTTGATGACCTCAATGACAAACTGAGGAGTGATGGGGAGGAAGTAGACAGCATCAGCCTGCTTTAAGCCAGTCTCATTGGTCTGCACTGAAGCAATATTGGGATTCATGAGGACAATTTTCACATTTTCTTCCTGAAAAATTAAAATCTGTGTTAAAAATAAGCACATGTGGGGAAAAAAGTTAACAGCAGCAGCAGCACCATCAAGAAGAGATGAGATTCATCAACAAGCAGTTTACCAACAGCAGAATTTTAAAAATTATGTATTGTCCTATAAGAGACTTCTGGTCTGAAGGCTGAGCCAATGCCAATTCTTTACTTTTGTGCCTGTGAATCTTGAGGGAATGGAGATTCCCACGACTCAGAAATTTGATTGAAACTGTTTAACACATTTAGGAGTTATATAGGAGAGACAGCTACAAACTGCAGCATACTCACTCATGTCTGTCTGCCTTTGGAAGTCAGATTAAAGGTGACAAAGCAAAAAATTTAATCAAAAGCTAATATTTTCTTGCCAAGCAGTAGGTCTTTGAAGTTCTCAGATTTTTGTACCAAATAGTAATAGTAACAAAACCACATTTTTTTGACTTTCCATAGAAATACCTTATTGTCCTGGTATTATCAGTTTAAAAATCTCATCCCACAGCTTTTTGTATTTGATACTGTACATATCAAAAGACAAACTCTGCCTTTCTATGCAAGATGAAGGTTAGCCAAAATTTTACACTGCTCTCTGTCACAGATGAGAAACTGAGACAGAGTAATAATAGATAATGAAGTTTATCTGTTTCCTGCTCTAACAGTCTTGCTACTCTTTAGCTACAGACAGAAATGCACTAAGTTTGCTCATTAATAGAAAATTCTGAGTCAGAGCTGGGCAGATCAATCCCCCTCATTCTTGAAATATCAGCACCTAATGAGGAAACCAAGTTTTGCTAAAGATGAGTGTGGCCAAGCTTAAAAAACCCCACATCAACCACATGCAGTAGACCTGCAGATAGAGAAAATTGTTCTATTGCTTTGGTGCAAAAATAGACTGTAAAGTGCAAAGGGTGTGGCCTCATTTTTACAGGAGCTCATTCTAATCTCCATCAACTTCATGTAAGGCTGAAAAACTACAAACAAACAAACAAATAATTTTCAAAAAATGCTAGTTATAGATGCAAATTACAAATCAAAATGTAATTTTGAATATATATATGGAAGTTGTTAAAAGGTTAAAAAACTGCAATTCCCATTGAAAAGAGGAAGAGTAACAATATTTTAAAAATATTATAAAGACACAAACTGGAAAAAATGCTATGGAAGTGTTGCTAGGATCAGTAGACAAAGTGCTATTTTCCCTCAGCTCACAATAGGCATGAAAATGCCACAGGATTTTTCTGTGTTTGTTTAAAATTTGTGATTGTTTGTCTCACTGCTTTGGGGGAACAAAAATATAACTCACCTGGAGCAGCAGGATTCTCACTCAGAGCTCTCAGGGTTCGGGTGTTGGATAACATTTCCTCTCCTTTCTTTGATAACTTAAAATACTGCCTTAAAGACTGGCTGTAAATTTCTGCTGGCTTTTTTTCCCTGTCACAAGTTGGATTTTTTTTCACTGAAGCACACTTTCCTTGGAAATGTGTGGAACAGGGGAGGGAAAGAACATATAAAATCTGTATGGAAAATATTTTGGATTTAGACAAATGATCCTTAACTGTGTAGTTTTCATGGTGATGGTGAGGGAAAAGATCAAAATATTCTTCTCTAATAAATGTATTCAGAAATTCATGGCTACAGTTCTGTTAAAACAAATGGGAAAAGTTTATCACTTTTCAACAAGCTGGACTATCTGCACATCCCTTATCTGGGACAAGGTATCTTAAAGATCAACTAGCAGTGATGATGAGAAGAATTAATGAGAGAATTAATGTCCCTCCCTGTGCTGAGAGACAAATTTCATTGATAGCACATCATTCTGGCCCAATTGCTTGGGATGTTGGATTTTAATCCACATGCTGTTTCCTCTTGCAACCCTTTCCTTCAACTTCTGCCTTTTTTAGTTTTTTATAAACATACAGAACTCTGTGTCACGGCCACCCACCCTGATGGAGACATTTGTTACAACTTAATTAAAAGCAATGGATTATTAATACTCCAGGAAGGCTCCATTTCTCTTTTTGTGTAATATCCACCTGTATTCAGCTGAGTTGGGATAATCCCCACAGAAAGTTTTCCAGAAGATTTTCCAGGTGACCACAAGCCAGTCTGTTGTCCACAGATGCTTCCAGGCCTTGCTCTTCAGGGGAAGTTCTTGCCTTTGATGAATATTTTTTCAGATACACATTTACTGACTGTGGAAGTCCCATCTCCTCAAGACTTTTTAGTCTTTAAAAGAAGCACCCATTTAACTGTCCAGGACTGAATATCAGTATCAGCACCTTCTTATAATGAATGAGCATCCAAGAGCCAAGCCAGAGCAGCAGCACACAGCAGAATGAATCAGACCATCAGCACTGAGAATCAGTGCTGATTCATAACAAAAAAAATCAAACAAAATGAAGTCTAAGGGAAAAGAAATTTCATCCTGTTAATTGGATGCTCTCTCCCCAGCCATGTTCTGCAGCTTTCCCTGGCAGGACTAACCAGCCACTCCTCTCTCCCATGCAGCCCTGAATGCCTCTGCCAGAGGCAAGGTCAGGAAGGGCGAGCTCTGCCTCTGGATCAGCCCACAGATCACAGCAGCTCTTGGGTGGCCATGTGAAGGGAAAGTCAAGCTGGGGAGGTTTATCACTAAAAAACCTACTTTCTTCCACAACCCCAACTGAGTTTAAAGGCCAAAGAGGGAAAAAAAAAACAAAAAAACCAAAAAAAAAACCAAAAAAAAACCAAAAAAAACACCCCCAAAAACAAAAACAACAACCCAAACATTAAAATAAAGGAGCTATCTCTTTTCCAAATGGGTCATATTGACACTCCCCAACTCGGGGATCCTCCACTCCTGGCCTGTAATTGTCTCTTGACGATGTGGTCAGTTTGAACCAGTAGCCAGCAATAGCAATACAGTACACAAACACCACACATGCAATACAAGAGGTGTTGCAACATGGGGATAAACCAGAGCAGCCCAGATTATATTTAACATTCCTAAAACTGATTTTTTTGTTCTTTCACTCCAGGGCCAGCACAGGAATAGAATGTTTGTGGCATCAGGACAGCCTCAGAACTGCTGACAACCATCACATCTCATCTGAAGGCAGCTGCTACTTCTGCTGTGACTCAGTCAGGGCTCCCTCTTCCCTCTTCACATGAGGTTAGACATGATCTTGGGACCCAGGTAACTCTTACATTACCAGTAATAACCCCATCACAGAACATTCTACCCTTCTACACCTTCTCCTAGCATGAGCTTTTGCCCCAGTAACCTTTCTAGGACCTGTTCTGGAAGCAAAACTTTGCATAAATGACCTTTAAAAAATTCATCCCATTTAAAAGAAATACTGTTTAGAAAACCTGCTTTGATGAGGGGTTCTTTTGTCTGGCAGCAGCCAACTGTTCAGCTGTTGTTGGTTGTCTGCCCTGCAGTGTGTTGACAGACCACAAAAGTTCCAGGTTTTCAGCTCAGGTACATCTGCCCATATTCCTCCTCCTCCATTTCCATTCAGTTTGACAAGCCTGGAGCAACCAGGCACACATCACAAATAACAAACTGCTTGAAGACTGTGATGGAAACCCCAAGAGCATCTCTTTTTGGAAGATAATTCTGAGTGGTTAACTCACATCACTCAACCAGCAAGTTCACCAACAAAAATTGCTTATTTTTCCTATAGTCATTTATCCTCACTAGCTTCAGATCCACAGTTGGAGGAATCAGCTTGGCTGTGAGAAGGGAAAGATGAGGTTATAAACATACAGAACTCTGTGTATTTTCACAGTATTTCCTCACCTTCAAGGCTTTCACAGCCTGTGATCCAGAGTAATCAAATTCCCCTGCCTGGCCAATTGACAGACCCCCGGATCCTAGAATGAGAACTTTGGAGACCTGCAAGTGGCAAATGGCATGAAAACAATCAGTCCCAGTGTGGTGGATGTTGACATGAACAGACACTGTGCAGCACTGAACAGTCTTAAATTACAGAACATAGATTTTCAAAAGAAAAGAAGTTGCTTTCAAAATCACCCCAGTTTTACTTTTTGGAGTATTTCTACTGGAATTCTCCCATAAATCTCTATTTGGAGAAACATGTGATTCATGGATAGAGCATACAATAAACATTTTACTTGTATCATGTGCTTATAGACAACAATGCCTCACTTTGGCTACCCACAAAATCCTGCTGCCTCTAAGACAGCAAAAACTGGATGAAATTCAGCTCACGTTAGGAATTTCAGACTTATTTGCTAAGCAACCAAGCACCAACATTATACTGCTGGCATGAAATCTCATGGCCAGATTATCCCAGGGCACCTGATTATACTGCTATGAGAGCACCTCTCTCAGAAGAACTGCAAAGAAAATACATGAAACATCAGAACTTAAAACTCTTTCAAAGAAAAGAGAGTTAATAACACAAGAGAGGCCAGATGACTGTGAGATAAGCAGCTGTCAGGACTTTTATAAGAGAAGCCTCCTTTGACTTCCATGTGCTATTTCATTCAGTTCAGTAGGAATTAACTCGCTCCCAGGCTCACTGACAGGCATGAAAATATCTGTACACTGACCTCCACTCTAGAAGCTGTCACTCCAGCCTTGGGGAGGACCGAGGGAATGGTGGTGCCTTTCCCTCTCTTAACCAGGGAAATAAATGAATCAAATAGGAACTAGGAAAAACAAACACATGTATTTACTGTCAAAGCTGAACTCAATATATACCAAGCAAAGAAGGAAAAAAACCAGGCCATTTGTGAATTCATGCAATCAGCTCTGCTCTGCTGCCTTCAGCAGGCAGATTTACACCATCTCAGAGAGGAAATCATTATTTGAAATTTATATAACAACTTTGACATATCTGACAAAGCTGCATTCAAGAAAGTGAGGTCATAATCAGGAAGAAAACACACATCAATCATGTCTGTGTGCTCTGCTTCTCTGTGGCTGCCAGTGCAAGGAGTGAACGTGCACCAAAAGCTAAAACACAGAGGAGCACACACTGAACTAGCTCAGGGAACCAAAAGCTAAAACACAGAGGAGAACACACTGAACTAGCTCAGGGAACCATCTGGAAGGGTGCCTACCACAGAGCAGAGATAGCTAAACATCAGTTGTGCAGAATCAGTGTTGTCCTTGCAGAGGAGGTGCCAGAAAAGGGCTCTCCAAGCAGGCAGGGCAGGCAGCAGGGCTCTCAGTGGGATCAGCCACTTACAGCAGTGGGACTGGCTTCCCACTCACCCCACACCTGCCAGCTTTCTGCCACACAGCCCTGAGGCTGCCTGACTGCTGGGAATTACCTGTGGAAGGAGTATGGATGGGTCCTGCAAGCCTGTCAGGACAGGCTCTATCTCATCAAACCATCCCAGCAGTGGGAGAGCACAGACTTGGAGAAGACACACAGCTGAGTTTTGGAGTTCTCTGATATACACTAGTCAATCAGATTGCTATAAAAGTTCCTGATATCAAGAGATTTACTTGCAGATTTAATCAACATCATCAAATTAAGATTAACATAAGCATTTCTAGGTATTCTTCCATCTTTGTCTCTCAGGAAATGCTAAATAGTTTATTTATGTTCAGACATGCTTCCTCTGCCTTCCACATCCCCTGATGCTGCTTAGTCATATTCTGTGACTATGCAACCAGTTGTTACAAAATTTGTGTGAAGTCACAGATGGGGGATTAAAATTTCATTTCACTTAGGAGAACCAGAGTGAGGAAGTATGAATCCATTTACATAACTCTACAGTAATTATAAAATTTGAAAGTGGAACTAAAGTATATTAGAAAGTTAATGATTTTATTACAAAGCATCTGGCTAGTATTTTTTTACATTTAAGATAAAATCCTATTCCTTTTGCAGTCTCTTTTGCAAGAGATTTTAGCCTGATCCTGCAAAGGCTTAAACACTTTAGTAACTCCCAACACAGATAATCCCAGCAGGACTCAATACATACACATGATATGAATGGAATCACTGATCCAAAGCACTAAGAAGTCAATAGAGCTCTTGCTGCTGATTGTAATTAGCTCCAGATCAAGCTAAGCAGACACAAGCCCATGCATGACTGGGATGCTGACACTTCCAGACCCAAGATTTAGGGCCACCACCAACTGGTACAGCAGCTGATAAACATCTGCACTCACAAGGCCTTCAGAAAGCAAGCCCAGATCATCCCCATACATTACCTCTGTGTCCCTGGGCCCAGGATTTGCATCTGGATAGAACTGCACTGTGAAAATCGATCTGCTCTCATGCATAATTCCCTGCAGGAATAAAAGGGACTCTCTTAGACACCTCCTGACAAGCAAGTGAACAGAAAGCCACACCTTATCTCTGCAAGCACTGAAGGCCAAAGGACTGATGTGTTTCTAGGGGCTGTCAAATTGACACCCATTTCATTGCCAGCCTCCTGCTCTGCTGTTAACCCTGCAGGGCCTGTGCAAGGCTCAGCTGTCCATGGACTGGGGGGCACAGTGGAGATGGAGCTTTCACTGCAACACCAAACACTGATAGGCTGTAAGCATCTGACAGAGCAGCTACACAAGGCTCCCTGCACACACAGGGCAGAGAAGAAAAACATACCTGGCAAGAAAAGATCACCTGGGACAATGAATGGTTTAACCATGCCAAGCTGATTGGTTCTGTCATTGAAAAAATTTTGGTCACACTCCTGATTTCCATAATTAATTTTAAATGCTGACACGGGGTTGGGCAGAGTGATGAAGAGGACCACTGTTGTGGACAAACAACAGCTATGAAGGACCTAAACTGAGTTTAGAGACTGTGTTTGTAGTTTCAGCTGGAGCCAGGAAAAAATGATTTCTCATTTGAGTGGCCTGATAGCATCAAGAAGCAAGATCCACTGGGAAAGCATCCCATAGGTGTCACTGCTCATGAGCCCCAATTCCAGACAGAGGTAGAGAAGTTCCTCAAGAGGAAAGTCAGGGAAAAGCAGCCCTGATCCAACCTGCTTCCCTTAGAAATGGACAAAGGAGCCCAAACAGTCTCACATAGAGCCACAGTGCCATCCAGAGCTTCAGGCTGGGATGCCAGGATAGGACAGGGATGAGAGCTGAGCTACTGCCCACAACATTATGCCATGAGTTTCTGCTCGCAGAGTAAAGAATTCCATCAGTCTGTCACATTTTCCCTAAATGCTCATGTTCCTTGTATTTACATATAAATGTATGAAAAAACTTTTTTTAAATGTAAAAATGTAAAAAATATATTTAAAAACTTTTAAAAGTCTTTACTCCATGCCTTGTCAGTATTTGGAAACTTGTGCTAGCCCTGTCCAGCTGTGATAGGTCAGGTCAGACCCAAAAAATGCTTTTTTTTCCAAGCTGAGGAATGCAACAGACTCCACATGACAAAGTATCCCAGCCCTGACCTTGTTTTTGCATGCTAAACCAACACAGTCCTTGTCCCTCCCCATCTATGAAGGTTTAGGAGACTGTTGCTGCTTTGGGGCTCACAGAAATGGTTTTTTAGCTCACATGAAAGAACATCATTCTACTAGATCCATAAGATTCCTGTCCAACCCTATGACCTTTGTCTCCAAATTCCAGCTAAAGCAAACATAAAAAGCCTGGGAAGGAATGGGTTTAGGTTGTCAAGACAGTGAAAATAAACTCATTTCAAATATTGAGTTGAACAGCTGTAAATTTTTTTGCATCAATGTTTTGTTTGGTAAAATTTGTCTATGTTTAGATACCTTTCTGTGTTTAGATATCCTTCTGTAAGGATAAAGAAAACACCAAATGACAAACCAAACCTATTCTAAAATCATCAGATGGGTAGCTCAGTACAGCACTGTTCAATCTGCCAGACTTGATAGTGAGCATTCAACTCTCAAAACAAGAGAGAGAGCAGTTTCCCTCATGGAAATATGCCTTTTGAAAACACCTTCTCATTGATTTCCTGATAACTAACAAGAAGTTACAAACTTGCACAACACTGGGCATCATGGAAAAGATTTGATGTGGGCAATGAGAAACCTGAGATCTCAAACATGGATGTTACTTGACATTGGACTTTTATCTCAGATCATGTAAGCTATTCTCTAGGGGCAGCCCCTCTTCCTCATGACTTCAGTAACTGGAATTATATTTACAATAACAGACCAAATCAGATAACAATGATATCCCTTTTCTGTGCTGGGCAGCACAGAAACAACACAACAAACTGGTGACAGGGGCTTGCACATCTGTGGCACAAACCCTAAGAGAATGGTTGTCAACTGTCATTTTCTGGAAAAATCCCTTCACCAGGATTTCTTCTCCTGGGAAGCTGAGAAGCCTCAGAGAAAAAGGACAACAGTATTATCTCATTTGCTTCTCCTGTGTTTTACTGCTTTGGAATGTGGTTGGAGATTGTTTATCCAACATGTGAATTGTTCTTACTTTATGACCAATCACAGTCAGACTGTGTCAGGACTCTGGAGAGAGTCACAGGCTTTTCATTAGTATCTAGTTAAGCCTTCTGTCTGTATCCTTTCTCTATTTTTAGTATAGTTTTAATATAGTATAGTTTTAGTATATTAAATATATTCTTTAATATAATATCATAAAATAATAAATTACCCTTCTAAGAACATGGAGTCAGATTCATCTTTCCTCACCACAACAGGGGACCCCAAAAATAGCACAAATGGTAGCTAAGTGAGCACCACCAGCAGTGGGGAAATCATGGAAACGAATAAGGCTTCTGTTCAGGGAAATTCTAAAGTCAGTGCAGTGGGGCTGGTACAGTGGGGTACCCATCTTACCCTGGCTGTAAAGCAGGGCTCCAAGTAAAGCAGATGACCAAATCAACAAATTTAGCCTTGATATTGTGAGAGCAGGCTCACAGGAGGTGAAATAAAGCTTCTCTGTGCAGAGCTCACCTCATTGGTGTGGTCATTGGCATTCACAAAGAGAGGCTTCCAGCCAGGAGGGAGGGAGGAGCCATCGATGGCATAGCTGTGGTTCTGAGCAGTGATCACAGCCTGGCCACTCACTGCATTCAGGACAGGCTGGTTCTGGCCTCTGCAAGAAAAAGGGATCAGAGGACACAAGTGCCAAATGTGTTCAAGTGCCACAATTAGGAGGAGCTGGTAACTGTGGGACTATACATAACAGTTCAATAGTAGCAGTAAAATATTGGCAGCCAATCTCAAAATTATAAATCCTAGGAGAAACTGTGATATTCTTCCACTTGATAGGGATAGATTACAGCAAATACTTTCAAAAACACTCAAAAAAGCAAAGCATCACATGGCAGTTGTCCTGGATTGAAAGACAATGTGTGTAATCTACTTCTCATCTGTCAGAGGTGGGGCAGGTCTCTTCTGTTCATGGGGCAGTGTTCTTCATCTCTTCCACAACCTCTTCCATCCTCCCTCCAGGAGATCTCTTCTGTTCATGGTCACTGAGTGTCCCTGCATGGCTGATCAAATTCCATCATCCCACTGGGAGATGCTCTGCCCAGGGGAGGAGCCAAGCATTCCTACCTGGATACAATCTGACCCTGGGAACACCACAGGAGCCTTTGCCCACTGCATTCCCAGAGGAGCAGCTTTCTTCTCCCCTGCACTCCCAGAGGAGCAGCTTTCTTCTCCACTGCATTCCCAGAGGAGCAGCTTTCTTCTCCACTGCACTCCCAGAGGGACACCAGGCCCATCTACACCACCCTGGAGCTTCAGAGGAAAACTCCCCCCTTGTCCAGGATCCCTGCTCCAGCAGAACCACAGCTGGCACTGCAGCATGGAATGGGACTGTGCCACCACCCTGACCCACAGGGTGTCAGCTCCTGTTCTGACTCTGGCAGTGTTGTTTTGTCTTACTGCATTTGTATTTTTATTTTCCCTAGTAAAGAGCTATTATTCCTATTCCCATATCTTTGCCTGAGAGCCTCTTAATTTCAAAAATTATAATAATTCAGAGGGAGGGGGTTTACCTTTTCCATTTCAGGGGAGGTTCCTGCCTTTCTTAGCAGACACCTGTCTTTTCAAACCAAGACAGCAGTTTAAATGAAAGGCAAGGAGAATGGCTGGGAGGAAGAAGCAATGTTACTGAGATGCCAGCTGCTCCTAAGGCAGCTCAGCAGCAGAGCACTGCTGTTCCATAGCCCTTTCCAGTGCTGAGCTGCTCTGTCTGGCAAGAAGAGCTGCCTCACCTGTTGGCCATCTGCATCTTGTAGGAGGAAGCTCCAGCTGCTATTCCAGTGATTAAATGCCCCATACTAATTCCAAACAGGGGCTCTGGGCGATTGCTCTCCAGGACCTAAAATGAAAAGGTTTTCAACGGATATTGGAGTGTCTCTGTCCAGCAATTCCAGCATAAACCATGCCAGTTCCCTCACAGATTTGGGAAAAAGCACAATGCCAGAGTGGCAGCAGCCTATGAAGGAAAGTTTCCTCCTTTCCTCTGGTTCAGAAAGAAGCCTCAGAGCACAGCTTGGTGTCAGACTACTCAGAGAATAAGCAATGACACTGCATTACAGACATTTAGTGACATTATTCCAAGTGGGAGCTCTGAAATCAGTGCTGTTCTTTCCTAAGGTCACAGAGGACCTGAAAGAGCCCAGGATACTTCAAGGCACTGGTATGATAATTGTGGTCACCATGTTTGCCATGTATTGTTCACCAAGGTCTATAAAGCCTTGTAGTAACTATTGGGCTGGAGACAAATCCCACCAGACCAAGATGAGGAATATTCCAGGCAGCTGAAATGGCTGAGCAACATTTGGCCCCGTAACAGGTTAATACAACCAACTTCTATTTCAAGCACTTGAAAAAAAGGCAAATTAAAAAGTATAATCTGCCTATAGGCATTGCACTGTACCTTTCTGACATTCTGAATCACTTCCTGGGCCTTCATAGGATCCCCTGGACCTCCAGAAATTATGAGTCCATCATAATCCATGCCAGTGAAATCATGGTCCCATGGAACCAAATGCACTTCTGCACCTCGCTAAAAAACACCAAACAAAAAACAAGTAAGGGAGTCAGAAATTAAGGGAAGAGAGAAACAAATTTTTGTAAGGAGGTTCTTCCTATGCTCTCATGTCCCAGAACCTGAGCTTGTATTTCAGTCATCTCCTTTTCCCATTATCAGCTTCTCTCCACTATCTGACCATACTACCTTCACAAAACTGACAGACTTGGCCCCTTGGAGCCACCTCAGTGTTTGTCAAGTGACTCCAAAATTCACTGATGAGATCAAAATTTACTGATGGAAAGCAAAAGTGTGTATGTAAACATGTAACATATGTTCACTTTTACACAGTGCATTCATCCTAATGCTAAATTAGGACTTCACATCCTTGCTCTATGGCATGCCAGAAGCAGTCCTACACATCAAAACTGAGACAAACATCCACACTAATTAAAAAAATGAATCAGGGAAATCCTGTGCATCTAGAGAATATGAGGACATTGCCTTCTGTCCTCCTGTGTGGCTAAAGAAGCAAGAACTGCTACATCACTGTGCTAAAAACAGGAGAAGCTTTTCACAGACTTCTAGAATCAAAGAACAACTTGGGATTCATGAGCCTCATGAGGCCATTAGGTCCAATCCCTGACCAAAGCAGGGGTAATTTCCACTTTAAGGCAGGCTGCTGAGAACCTGGGGAAGCTGTGTTTTTAATATCTTCAATTAGGAATATTCCACAGGTACTTGGGGCCTGTTTCCACCATTCACCACCATCATTGCATTTTTCCCCCTCATTTATTTATTTTTAACAATGTTGGGTTGACCTTCCTCCATTGTTCTTTACAGAAGTTTTGCCTCATTTTCTGAAAACTCAACTTTTGGGGTTCTTCCCATGGCTGAGAGGTTGCTGTACAGGTCCTCTTCCTTACCCCCTCAATATACTATACCAAGTGCAGAAAACACCTCCCAGTGCATAAAAATCACCCTAAAAATTGTGCCTCACTTCAGGAGGGCAACTAACATTAAAATGCATGAGTGTCCAGGTGGAAGGAAGGCTTGTGAGCACATGTAAGGCTCTTGCCAAAGCCAAACAAGTGACAAGGAACATCAAGCACTGACCCACCTTTACCAGCAGACGGATGATGTTGTGCTTCAACCCACAGTCAACAGCTACAACTTTAATTGGATTCCCTCTGCCATAAATCTTGACTTCCTATAAAAAGACAAACCATGTTGTAAATGACAGATGTCTCCAAAACACAGAGAAGATGGGCAGAATAACTTTTCACCAATGTGCAGCAACTGGTACTTAATTTATGTGGAAATCTCCAGGAGTACTGCAGACATTATTGCTTCCTTTATCTTTCTGTGAAAGTAAAAGTTAGAATGCTGCTTTATATACTGTTGATTGCAGTGATACCTTTTTTAAGTTTTTTTTTTGTTGTTTTGGTGCACACTTTTAGCTTTATATTAAGTGTTACTAGGATCTTTCCACAGGGTGGTGAAGACAAAACAATCCTATTCTAGCTGGAGACTCAAGGAAAATCTCTTCAAACTTCAGGTCCTAAGGATAAAAAAGGTGAAAAGACGAGGGCGAGCAAGCAAGCAAGGAGGATGAAACTTCATCATTTGAAGCTATTAATTGGAAAGTTAACTCCTGTATGCAAATTGACTAAAACTCATAAAAATGTGAGATCTCATGACCAAGCCCTCTTTTGCTTCCATCTTGTAGCCAACTGGGCAGTGTGCCAGGGTGTGGCCTTTGAAGGCACTTCAATAAATGTCCACTTTATTCCTCTTAACTCTGTCTAGCCTCTGTTCCAGCTCGTTAAGGCATCAACAGCAGTAATGCAATTCCTAAGCAATCACTTGTTTCCACAGCTCATGACAAGCTTTTTTCCTGTGTGTCACCTCATTAGCAGTGCAGCAAAAAGCCAATTCTCACAGATTATTGCAACCCAAGAGAAACAGGCCAGACACCCAGTGAGAGATTTTCAGCTGAAGTGCAGTCATCCTGCTGATGCCAGGGAAGCAAAGCCACAGCTCCATCACATGAAACACCACACCAGCCCTCCAGTCCCAGTCAGAGCAAAGCACAGCACAGCTGGGGACAGCTGGGAGTGACCTTCTGTGCACAATGGCACCTATGTTCATATGGACCTGGCAGTTTTATCTCACACCTTCTCTTCCAGCTGCTGTTCCTTAACCCATTCCACAAAATAAATTGTCAGCAGTTCCAAATCTGGACCATCATGCTTTGTACACCCAGTTATCCACAGGTCACAGCCAGAATGGAAAAAAGTGAAGTCAAACCAATCTATGTTATATGGCCTTGGTACTGTGCCATTGTCAGACAGCTCTAGCACTAATGTAAAGTTATTTATGGACAGCTTCTTTCTGAAGCTTGCTGAATTATTTTACTTGCTACATGACTAGAGGCAGCAGTTATTGATGTTATTCATCAATAAGCACATAAGGCTGCCTTCTCCTCCTAAAAACAAACTCTGTGCTTACCTTCAGTAACACTCAGCTTCTGAAAGCTGATATTGACAAATGTATTTTGCCAAAGTGGCTTTTCTCTTGGGCATCATGGAAAAAAACAATTTTTTATCCTCTTTTACACCAAGTACTTCCCTTTTAATCAGCTTCCCTGGCATCTGTATCTCACATCTGGACCTCCTTATGAAAAGATACTAAAATCCATGTCCAATTTGACTGGTGCAGGGTGACAAACTGAATTTTTTAAAAGGAAAAATATGGTTAGCCAGAAGGAAAGACATCCTCTCAGCAGATAATTCAAGGTGAAGTTTGTTAACAGAATATTGCAACTCCTCCCCATGTGTTACACTAACTCAGTTCTTGTTTGAACTTTTATCTTTGCAGAGATTGAAATGCAGAGGTTTCTAGTGATGCCTTAGGATTCAGCTTTTATATTTTTCAGATCCTGTACTGCTTTAGTGTTTAACTCTAAAACTCCATAGCCTGTCAGCTGCTGTTCTCCTGTTTTATTCAGACAAAACAATTCCTCTCTATGCCTGTAACTCAAGGACACCTTACTGCCTCACACCCTGAAAAGTATAAATAAAAGTGAGTTGCACATAATCAGACTCAGGTTCCAACAGTCCACAGTGGAACTGTATCACTCCACAGGGATTTTAAGGGTCCTCTACATGCTGTCCTTCAAGCTTCTGGGTGGTGGGTTTCAAAAATCCCAAGAACATTAAGGTGTCCAGTTCTCACAGAAACTAGTTTAGCGTCCTGTGTCAGAGACCCCTAAGAAAAACTCACTGTCCTTTTCAAAAGGGGCTCTTGAAGATCCCTCAATTTCTCACAAAATCCATACTTAAAAAAAACAACAAACAACAAAATATCATGAAGCAAAGATCTCTTTCAAAGGTTCTCCTTAGTTGTTCTCATGACCAGAGAGAGTTGTGGGGCAACACTACTTCAAAGTACTTTAATTACCCTTACTTTCAAAACTCTTCCTGCTCAAATTAATTAGCTATTATTTGTTACAACACTTCCTTCAGCAGCAAGACTGATTTTAGATATTGCTGTCTCCACAACCCATTTGTCACACTCTGTCCTGCAGAGACCTGACCTGTCCCCTGCATCTGGCCAAGAAACTAGACTGGGAGCTGGATCAGAGAACTGTTAAAATCCATTCCTTCTAAAGCCAGAGGATTTCCCACATCTGTTGGCAGCACAGCCCATAAAAAACTGTCCCAGTCTGAAAGGATTATGTGAGAGGGATGCAAATGAGTGGTTGGGGAGAATACAAGCTCCTGCTGGAACTAGTGCTGAGAACAAAAGCAGTACATGGACCTGCATGTGTGAAGAGATGTGACCTCTTAGCTTGGACTGGTTACCTATGTCTCATCTGCTCTGCAACCCTGATGGATCACATGCACCAAAAAAAAAAATCTCCAACAAGAGTGCTTGCAGAACACTGGCAGTTTTCTCCATTCCTTGCCCTGGGTAGACAATGTTAGCAAGCACAGTCTGTATCACTAGCATTTAATCAAGGTGGCAGGGGGTGGGTGGGATATAATAAGAAAATCAATCACTCCTAGTGTACAATAGATAAGCAGAGTCCAGATCATACTGTATGCTGATTTACATGAAAATCACCATTTGGCAACAGATGGATTATCATGTCCAGTAATTACCAACATTAAACAGCTTACCTCATTTACAGCTTTGTATGTGATGCTGTTTTTTAAGCCTATAAAATGAAGTTATAAACATAACAAGACTGCCAAAGTGCTGTTAATCTTATTCTATCTCCCTTTAAGAAGCTATTTTCAGCATCTTTACAGTAATTCTGTCACAGTAATTGCAGAGTTTAGCATCAGCAATCTTACCTGTTTCTGAGATTTACTGACACAAAATGGCTCCCCCTGTACCTTGCAATCCTGGATCACAACCTCAGTAAGCAATTCCCATCCTTCTGTGTAGCCATGACTCAAAACACAGTGGAGGTGCTGGCATGAGCTGGGGAGATCCCCCAGTGTGAGATTTGCAAGGCAGCCTTTGTATTGCAGTGGCATCCCAGTATGCCAGTTACTACTGTAAACCCAAGATTTGGAGATGGAGAGTGCTTTAAGCTCCCCCTTGCTTGCTGACCATTCAGCTCAGGGCTGCTTTTCACCCACACCATGAATGCACTGGCTTGTGTGCAGAACAGTACACAAGCAGCTATTTGCAGAGCTCTTCCAGAGCCTCACTGATCTTGAGGGAAGTGCAAACACCATAACAAGCATGGAATTTGCAAAAGGGACTCATATACTCGGTTCTCACTTCTCAATGGAATTAAGCATCCAGGGCACTCCTTATCCCCCAGTTAAACCCCCAAAGGGGCCACAGTTTAAGACATTGGGAGTTGCATTGGTACAAGAATAGTTACTATTTTTAGTATGAGCCTGGTTTCCCTACATCCATGTCACAGTTGAGGCAGCCACCATACACAGCATCACCACACAATTTCAGAAAGTTCCAACCCACACACAGTAACACCCTACCTCTTCAGCAGGCTGCAAGCATCTGCCCTTCTTGTTTTTCAGCCCAACCTTTTATCCCCTCCTGTTGATGCACTGCACCTGTGTGCCCTCTGTTCCCTTTGGTGGTTGCTCAGTGCCCCTGGGCACTCCATGGCTCATTGCTGTCAGTGCTGCTCACCTGCTTTTCATAGCTGTGCCCATTGGGGATGAGGCTCAGCCACAGCCCCACTCCCAATCACCACAAACTGTGTGCCTGCACATCCCCATGATTTCTAACATTCTTCTCAGCTTGTAGTTGAACACTGTTTGCATGCCCAGCTACCAAAGTAAAAACTTCACCTGCAGTCTGTTCAGATCTATGGACACAGCAGCTAATTCCAGAAACATTAGATATAGAGGATTCCTAATGTGGTCTGGTTTTGACATCTAGAAATCTTTTCTGGAATCACCCCAACAAAATTACACCCCATCACAGATTATCAAATGGTATTGTGAGTTTGTTTCCTAAATTTTTTTTAAGGAAAGCAACCATTCTTTTTATAAATTCTTTTTATGTTTGAAAACATCCATCACATACCAGGTCTAACTGTATCCCCAATATTTCTCTGTCTTTGTAACACACAGTCCTCTGATCAGAGTGTGGTCCAGACCACATTCAGCTCAACACAAACCATTTTTTATCTCCAACACTGCACCTAAGGAGCCACAGGGATATTGAGAAAACAGTCCATCAAATGTCTAGAAAGGTGCATGGTTTGAAAAACATCTCCAAATTGTTTGTTTAGAAAAACTGGTTGATCCCCAGAGCAAATGAGGAACAGTTACTACCTGGTGTGTACTATAGAAGTTGTTCTCACCTTTGTTGAAACTTCTGCAATTAAGTTTTGCTTATTTGGGTCTACAAACTCCACGGGTTGACCTTCAAACTCAATCTTCCCAAGTACTGTGCCCTGTGGAAATACACCATAAAAAACAAAGCATGAGCAAAGGAGAAGCTGTGAACACTGGGATGAGGTGTTGACAGGCCCAGCAACCAGAACAGCTGTTTAAATATGGGGTTTTGGCAGTTTATAACCATTTTTAGCATTTTCAGAAGTTTATGAGCCTTCCTCAGTATAAAAAAATCTGTTTAAACCCCCTTCCTTCAGGGGAGAGACATTATCAGCAGTAGTATTTGTTAATAGGCAGTCTGGCAAGCTGTGTTGTGACATGAAATTGAGTTGTCTTCCAAGAAGATCAGAATTCAGATCCCCACATAACTGTCACATAGATCTGGGAGTAACCCACAAAGCAGTTTGAAGATTTTTTGGTTTTGGAAACCCACTGTGAGGTTTTCAGCTGCCTCCTGTGCACAGCTACAAGGCAGCAGAACTGGTGTAAGGCAAAGCTATGTAGGAGGCAGGTCATCCCAGCTGTTTTCTGAATAAACTGTTAAAAATAAAAATCACCTCTAGCAAGCCCTGCTCTGTGTTGCTGTTACCACCTGGCAGAAGCTAGGACACTCTTGTTCTTCTCATTGGAAAAAGAATCCCTGCTTTGGCTTTGCCCCACTCCTGAAGTTAATGGGATTAATCTAGGGTTATGCTCTTCTCAGCATGGGAACAAAGTGTGCACTACAGAACTTTTCAAGGATGGAAAGGGGAAGTAAAACAGAGAAGGTCAATGTTTTGTGGTAAATTTATCACATCCCACTTTCATGATCAAACATGTTAAACTCAGCTTTGCTCTGGCTATGACACCAGTATTCAACTGGGATTGCTCCTTGGATTCAGTGATTCTCCTTTGAGATACTGCCCTGGCTTGCCATACCTGAAGTATCCTTGCCATTTCTCTAGGGCAAGCAACAGCCAATATCTTGCACTGCCATGCACACTAATAAGGGCAAGTTTTGAGGACAGTTTTGCCCCTAACAGTGGCTGACATCCTATGTCTTCTTTCTTACACCAAAAGCTGCTCCAAGCTGCTTTACATGAAAAAAAAAAATCATCATCTTCAGCAAGTCCTGTTCTTGGAAATGAGGCCCCTGAGGGGTACTTGAGAGCCATGGTTCTGAGTGCCACCATGCAGTGAGTTCCATAAATGCTGATGACCAAGCCCCTTGTTCTCAGCCAAATGGTGCCCTGCATTTACTTTCAGTCCAGTTTAACAAGTCATTGCTTATTTCTGCATGTACCATAAGGAGGCCCTGTTCTCACCCCCAGTTTTTATAGAGACAGGGAGTGAAATACTAAGTAGGTTTTTTCAGCCTGAGAGAACTGGGTGAAGAGGTGACATTATGCACTTTAAGAGCCATACACCAATACCATTCAAAGTCATGGTATAATGGGACTCACTGCTAAATTACAGGACAAACACTGAAAGTATTAACTTTGTATAAAAGGAATGGTGATCTATTATGTCTTAAGAAAGCAAAAAATATATTGCCATTTTCTATTGTATTAAATTGTACTTGTATGCTATCTGTAAGAGCAGGACAATGCCACATCTTCCTAATAGAATTCATTTCTACAAATATTCCTTTATTCAAGCTGGCCCATTCCTGTTTTGTGCTGTGGAATGAAAGGGGGCATAGGGTTGGGCTGCAGACTGAAAATTGATCATCTAAAGAAAAGAGCAGCTGCAAATAATCCATTAGGAAAGAAAGCCCTCCAAGGCAAATTTACATTCAGACTGGCTTTGATCACCATTTCAGCCAGTGTGAAGTGTACCTTCACATTAACCTTCACTCCATAACATAATCCTACCCATGACCTTCAATTGTCAGCTCTTGGAAAACAGAGAAAAGTAATAACTATTGAAAATAATAGCAGGCTTCAGCCAAAAGAAACCAGGTTAGGAATACATCTTGGATGACTGTAGGCATTCCTCTGTCTCAGAGGGGCAGGACAATTTCCACTGACCAAAGGTGCCACTGTCTGTGAACGAATATCCACAACATCTCACAGACTTGTTGCTCTCTCTGACTGTTTCTGAGTTAAGATGTGTTTGATACCTGTTGTGTCTGACACTACCTGAGGCCTTTCATTTACATCACCTTGTGCTGGCTCACTTGTGCAGGACAGGAAACCCAGAGCAGAGCCAGGGAGAGAGGGCTCCTTGGGATCAGAGCATTGCCCAGCAGCACAGAAGCCTTTGGAAGAGCACATGGATCTGATCTGAAGTCAAGGCAGCCCAGCAGTACCATTGCTACTCCAGGTTTGGAAAGGGCCCAGCAAGGTTAATGCAACTGGATCAAGGGAAGCAGATCATACCTTGTCACGAATTAATTTGGACAACATCCTGGTATCAATCCCATACAGTGCAGGCACCTGAAGAAAACCCAAGGACAAGTTAGAGAACAAGCAGCTAAAAAACTGGAAGAAGACAGCACCCAGATCACCTTTATGAAAACAAGTCACAGAATCATAGAACAGTTTGGTTTGGCAGATTTTAAAGCTCATCTCATTCCAACCCCCTGCCATGGACAGGGACACCTTCCACTAGAGCAGGCTGCTCACAGCCCCATCCAGCCTGGCCCTGTGTTAGGAGCTCAGGCTCTCAGCAGCAGTCTTACCAAGGCTGCCTCACTGCAGCTCTTCACTTCTCCTCCCTGTTCCCACTCATAATTAGCTAAGATGCTCAAATCTAGTTTCTGCTCCAAAAAGCACAGTGGGACAGCTGGGATCCTCTGGATACACAGATCTTGATCTCTGTGATCAGGAGGTGCAGCTACAGGGTTCTTCTCAATGGACAGCAATCCCTGGACTGGTAGGGAATCTGCCACCTTTACGTTCTGCAACAATAAAGAGCTCATCTTTCCATCCAGGTCAGTTCTCACTGTGCTGTTACATCTAGTATTGCTCACCTGTTCTTCATACAGCCACTCTCCCAGGCTCCTAGTAGCCTGCCAGTGGCTGTACTCATTGCTGTAATCCTGCACCAGTAAACCTGAAACCTGTAGAGAGAAGAAACATCATTTTGCACTGGAGGATCACCTTTGTATTTATCCTGTACCTCCAACTTGCACTATTCATTCACCATAAACCATATCATGGGCAGACTTCAGGCTAGCTCATGGCTGTACCTGGGCATTTGTACCAGGAAATCCACAGAAGAATGTGCCTTGGTAACCAAAGCTGAAAATTGCATTGAGCTGACAAAACACTTCTTGTCAAAAGAAAGAAAATGGAAATTTAGGACAAGAAAAAATGTTTTATTTTGATTTTTTTTTTGTAAGAAAACTTATCACTTTTAAGTAACCTTTCATTTCAAAAGTCAGCTCCATTTTTCAATGGAGTTAGTGTGTAAAATAGTTATTTCACCTCAGAACAGGTACTTCCAGAAGGCACATGGCTTAGTACAGAAATCAAGATGGAGTATTTTTTGCTACCATTCCTTCACAGGAAAATACCAGAAGAAGAAAAAGAAAGGTTGAGTATCACTGATTTCTTCTGTGAAGGAGCCAGTAAACTCTTTCTCAGGCTACTGGGCACAACCCTTTGATCAGCACTACTTCTCCCACCATTACCTTGATCCCATCAGACTCCAGAAATCTCCTGAGGCCTATTTCATCCAAAGCAGCCGTGTCAGGCACTCCACCATTCCCAACTATGGGGTTAGCCAGGGTAAGAATCTGCCCTTTGTAGCTGGGATCTGTCAAGGCTTCAGTGTATCTAGGTGAAGAAACAGTAGAAGGAAAGTACATAGGTCTGGAGTCAAAAGGAACACAACAGAACCAGTGAAAACAAGACAGGTCTGAATTCCCAAAAAGACAGAAATGATGTTCATGTGAAGATATTCTCAGAATAAAAGCAAACACCTCTGTGAATATACCCTGCCTTTGCCATTTGTGGTTAAACATTTGACATGGAGAACAAGGAAATGCTTTGGCTTGTCATGTTTCATTTAAGGAAAGCACATCAACAAACTCAGAGTCCTTTGATTTAGCATGAGAATCAAGTACAGGGAGGGCAGGGAGATCTCAGCCCTGCACAGAGTATCACTGATAACAGCTTGGCCTGGCCTCTCCCTGGGCACACCCCTGGCAGTGCTTTGCCCTCCATGTGCTGTAGGAGCTCTCCCCTCTCAGCAGCAGCAGAAAGCTCCAACTGAAAAACCATCAGACAACAGAGCTGGTTTTGCCCAGGTTTTGTCCCTTCCACACTCTGGAGCTTGTCTTGGGATGCTCAGGGCTGTAATTGCTCTTTTTGTGGGAGAGGACAGACAAGTCCTTGGGTTTCCTCCTCACTGCTCTGGGTCCTTCTCTGCCACCAACCCTGCCATGGTCCCACTTCTGAAGTTTCTCCCTGGCATTTTCCATGTTCCCAGCCACAGAGCACCATCCATTTCACCTGACCAGACTCCTAAGTGCTTGGAAGCTGGTTTGTGTATCCCTGCAGAAGGCAAGTTGAGGACAAAGCTTTGGGATTCAGCATTGCACCCCTGGTCACACAGCCCCAAAACATGTCCTGTCATAGCCCCAAAGCAGAAGCCTGGCAGTTTGTGAAGCACCTGAATGCCCTTCTCAGCAAGGACAAAGCTAAAAGCACACTGGAACATTCTTCTGCAGCAGAGGAGCAAAACTAGGACTCCACAAAGTATCATCCCTGCAACTAGTAGGTCCAGTCCCACTTTCAACCATATATAGGGGGACAGGGTAAATGTGGTCTATATGCTCCCGTTCTTCAGCTCCAAATTAACAAACAGTCTCTCACTTTTTCCCTTCTTCTGTAGTATACTCTTGCAAATCTCCCTTAAACAATTATTGTCTTTCAACCCAAAAGCAGCTGCAATTTAGCAACAGATGAAGTTATCCCCACAAATATTGAGCCAAACACATAAAGAGACTTTGGGATGAATCTGCCCTGTACAAAATATAATAAATTATTGTCATTATTGTTTAAACAGTACCTAATTGGCAACTCCAGTCATCTACCAGATATCAGCAAGTCACAAGAGACGTTTTTATGGAACACCAGACTTACTGCCAGAAGATTAATTGTCAAACATTGGGAAAATCTTCACAAAAGCAGGACTGGCTGCTGGCAGATATAAACACAGCACACCAGCCAGCACTGAGAAATGACAGGTTGAATAAACACTGGCCAGGAAATATTTTCAGGTAAGCCTCTCCTGATATTCAAATCTGTATTTGCAGCTGCAGGTAAGCAACCACACAAAGTGCAGTGGGATCCCAAAACTGCAGCAGGTACCAGGCACATGGCATGGGCATGCTGGGCACTGTTCTCTCCTTCTGAGCTTATTGGTTATGCCTCCAAAAAACTACTTGTTACTGACAAAGCTAATGTCATTGACCTTTGATGTCATTTGTGACCAGCAAACAAGGACAGAGAGCCATGGCTCTGGGTGGGGTGTGCAGGCAGAGCTCAGACAATGCCCTTTAAGCAGGAACAATGCTGTGTGGAGCACAGAGGAGCAGATGGAAACACCAGCTCCAAACGTGCTGCAAGGTCTAACCCTTGCTGTGCCTGCCCAGAGGTCTGCCTGATTTCAGTAAATTCCTGTCAACCCATTCTCTCACTAAAATATCATGGGAAACACACATTTATTAGAGATAAACACCTTTATGGGGCCATTTCAAACATGGGACATTTCATGGGTTGTAACTCTTCTTTCTTAATGAGAAACCACCTCTTTTTGTTTCTATGCCAAACATACAGCTGCAACAGTAGGCTTATTTTTTTTTCAGCAAATGCTTCTGAAAAGTTCATCCTCTTGCTTTTCTATCAAAAATTCAACATTTCATCCCTAAAAGAGTGCTCTTGGCCTTCTAGTCCAGAGCAACATGTCAACATTTCAGCGAGCTTCAGCTACTTCAGGCCTGAGAGCTGTATGCAAATAAAGTGCTTTGCCTCCCATTTCTATACCATGAATCAGAACATGGGGGTCCAGATGAGGAGACACAGTGCAGAGCAGCCTAATAATCACCCATGCTGACCCCACTCAGCACCCAGAAACACCCACTTCACAAAAAGCAGGTCTGAGGCTTATCAGCACCCCTGCACTCACCTCTCACTCCCTATCATGACAAACTGCTCTGTGCCCCAGCAGCCTGGCACCTCCCTCACCCTGGCACAGCCTCTTCCTGTGTCAGGGAGAAGGGACAGCTGGGTTCCTCTGGATACCCAGATCTTGATCCCTGGGATCAGGAGCAGGAGGTACAGCTCCAGGGTTCCTTTCAATGGACAGCAATCCTTGGACTGGTAGGGGAATCTGCCACCTTTATGTTCTGCAACAATGCTGCAAACTCTTGTTTTCCATTTCTCTGAATCAATCAAGGTCATGTTCTGTACAGGGGACTCCAAAGATACTTCCTTACATTTTTAGTGTTTTCTCCATGCCCATATGCTGCCCAGCACAGAAGAGATCTGTCACAGCATCCTCTCCAAATGATTAGACAATGAGCAAACACAACTTCTACTGCCACAGTAACATGTGGAGAGGAAATTAATCCTTCAGGTCCTACTTGACTTTTGTCATGTGCCAAGATTTATGGCCCATAATCTATCAATGAGAAGAGAACTCTGGTGCCCTCCATCATTCTGATCTATATTAAACAGTGGCTTGTTGGCAGGTATATTAACACAGCCAGTAATTAGTGCTGTCAAAATGCTTAAATAATTGTCTCCTAACGCAAAACTCTGCAAACTGATTCCCCTCTGCAGCAATTTAACATTCTCACCAAAGGTATCATTTTAAAACTCAACCTGTGAGTACTGAGATCTCCAAAGGACAGCATAATGTGGGGAGCACAAAGCAGATGAGCAAAGACAGCTATGAATGACTGCAGAAGCAGCTCAAGCATTAACAACTTCATAGATGTCTTAAATCCCCAAGGACATTTCCCTGTCCTTACCAAAAACCCCATTCCTCTGCTCAAGCAGTCCAACAAAAGCACTGGCAGCATTTGGCTGCCAACCTAAGTCAGCCATAGGTTTCTACCACTTGAGAAGACAGAAAATCATGCTAGGTTAGGCATCAATCTGATCCTGCCCTTTAGCTGCAAAGGCACAGAATGCAAAAACGTCCTTACCTGTGGTGTGAGCCAACAAATTACATAAGAGATGGGTCATAAAGGTGACCAACCTGGGGTTTAAAAATTTTGCACTCAGAAGCCAAGTTCCATTACCAAGAAGGCTGCAGATGCTTCAAACCTCTATAGTTGATCTGGGCACTAGAGGGAGAACAGACAGCTTCTCTGCTCTGACTCAGCAATTCAGTAGGAAGTGATCAGAACCCTATGTATCTCATTATCATCATTAGGTCAGTCTTTAAGGTGCTTATCACCACAAATGCTTTGGCACAAGGGGTCTGCCTGAAACATCTTCATTAATTCTATCTCTCTCTGTACCTCTGGACTACAATGTAGTAGATATTGAATATATAGAAAAAGAAATATAATAATATAATAATAATATAATAAATATAGAAAACCACCTCTTGGATCAGAACCCTACAAGCTTGGAAAAAGCAGCTTTCACACTTCAACAAGCTTCCAGAGAAGTCCTGATGCCCGGATGCCATTTGCTGTTGCCTTACCCAGAGAGCCCCGTGTTGAACACCACTTCCCCTGCTGTGGAGGATGGATAGCCAAAAGAATAGCCCTTCATCTTCATCCCATCTTCCAGCACCAAGTTTGCTGTCTGCACCTAGAGAAAGGCACATGAAGAGACTCAAACACAGGAGGAAAGGCTTGATGTTTATTCAGGCAGCACCTAGGATATCTGCCTTTCATGCCTAGCACTGTAGGTACTCCTGCCCTTCTCCCACTCCCAGTTGCCAAGACATTACCTCTTTTACCAGCCTGATGTCTTTTTTCTTTCTGACTCTTAGGAAACCTTGTTATCCTAATGAGCTGACAAACCTCCCTGCAAGCAGAGCATGTGCTGCTTTTACTGTGGGATCACCCTTTCCCATGCCTTAGCTCATTTTTTCTACATACGACATCTTGCAATTTACCAACATCATAACCCTGCAGGGAAAGGATCACTTCCCTCCTCAATGTTTGCTCAAGGCCTGCTGCTGACTCTGCTGGCTCTCATCCAGCTCTGACCTTTGATAGGTGCTTAACTTCTGGTGCAACCATACAGCAACGCCACTAAAATAGGTGTGTGTGCTTAGTGAACTGGTGTCAGACAGCAAAATTCAAAATAGCAGTGTATTCTGCTGTAGGACACTGGACCAGAGGAACTCATGGATCAGATGGATGCTCATGGTCTCAGTTACCTCAGGGACAGGCATAAATTGTGCCAGAAGAAGCAGCTATGAAACAAGCAGCCTAGAGGAAACCATACCCCTTCCAGAGAGGGTTCAGCAGAACTGAGTCCCACACTAACTGAGGGATCCCTTACAGGCTTCATCACTATTTTACAGCCAGGCAAGTGGGACAGAGTGAGTTTTACAGAAGTCCTTAAGAGATTCATTGTCACAACTGGGTCTTTGCACATATCAGACTAAGTGTACCACCCTCTTTGGTCCCACTTGGAAACTAAACCTTTCTTACTCTGTCCAGGCACTGGATGGGAAACCACCAGAGAACTCCAACTTCTGACAAATAAATAATGACTACATGCACAGCAGAAATGACAGAATGAGTTGGGAGTTCCCTCAGCAGGATCACTGGTGACATGCAGAGGAGGAGAAAGAGTAAGCAAAGCTGTTAATAAATTTGCCAATGAATTCCTGGCTTAAAAGAACTTGGACTATGAACTTCCAGGACCCTGATAAACCTCCAGCTCTGGAAGGCAAGCACAGCTGTCTCCTAGGCACAGGCAGAGTGACCACCAGTGCAAAAATCCCAGTGGTTTGTGCCACAGGAAATGTGCCAAGCAAGTCCACAGGAAGCAGCTCTTACCATGATTTAGCTTCATATTGGTTTCTTTTACAGAACTATTCCTCTTACTGGGATTTTTAAAAGAAAAATCAAGATCAATTTGCTGCAGAAAGGAGCTGGAGAGCTACTTCCCATTAGCTGTAAATCAGATGAACAATCACAGCAAGGAGAAATTTCATTCTCAGTATTGAACATTTTGTAACCATCATGCCAAACATTCATTTACAGCCCCTCTGCAGTTACAAATACCACACAGATCAATTACTAATGTACTGCAAAATACACTAAAAATCAAACTGAGATGCCAAGTAATTGAATTCTGTGCATCTGGGATGCTTTTAGCCTTGCCATTTTTTCCTCATTAATGTCAAACACCCAGTCATTCTCCAAAGATTTAGCCATAACATTTGGAACCATCCCACACCACTGGACAGTTTAGTCAGCAACACCAAAATCTCCTCCCTCCCCAGTTATAAACAGAATTTTTGTGGCTAAATCCCCTAGGTTTAGACCAAATTAGAATGAAGTTGCGGGCTTCCCACCACTGGGCACACCTTGGGGCAGTTGCCTCAATTGTGGTCCTAACTGCCACCAAGCCTGGCAGAATCCTTCTGGAAACAAAGTCCACAATGGTGGAATGACCAGAAAATTTAAGATTCATCCAAGTGCTGAAGGCCAAACCCCAGAGCAATCACTGTGAGCTTCAGAGCCTCACCCTCACTAAAGTTCTGCATGGCCTTCCTCCCACCACTGCCCACCTCCCTTCTAAACCAGACAGCACAGAAATCATTTCTGTTGAACAGAAGCCCTTATTATACTAGTAGAGCCCCTACACAGTGTTCAGGTAATGGGGAAAAATGTCCCTGAGCAACCATAACCTGCCTGCAAGTTCAGCTATAGCAGGGAATAGATGTTCAAGTGTTTCCCTCCCTTCCTTGATTTATTATTCTTAATTAAGTGGTTGGTTCATTGAGCATTCTCAAAGCAATTATTCTTGCTTACATTTCCAGTGGAGGTGTTACCTTATCCCTAAGCTGCCAGCCTACCTTGTTTTCTCAGTTTTGTTTTTAAGGTGAAATGTGATTTACAGGCTACAGAGAAAGCCTCTTGGCTCAATCAGGGATCAGTTGGGAGAAATACTTCCTTTCAAAAAAAGAACAAGCAAGAAATAAACAACCCCCCAGAGCTTCCATCAGGTCCTTTTGTCTTCACCCTTCTCAAAAGCATCCCCACATAGCCTCAGATAAATCTCTGTTGTAATTTCAACTAAATTGTTTCTACCACACCTACCCAATATAAGATATGCCACTTGCAATCTGATTTCCTCTTCCTACACATCAGTAGCTTCACCTTTAGCAAAAGGCCCTGTGCTCTGGAGAGGCTGCAGAACTCTTCAAGAGCTTTGAGGATGAAGATGGCTAATAGGAAGGGTCATGTTGATGTCACATTGACAGATTTTGTGTATTTTGTCAAAGCAGCTTGAAGAATCAACTCATTCAGGTCCCACTTCATACATCAAATAAAGAAAGCACTTAAGAAGTTAAAATAAAAACAAACCTAAACCCAGTAAGAAAGTAAGAAAGCAGATGAAATTAGTTCCCTGCTGGAGCAGCCCTTCCTATCTAAAAAGTGGATGATAAAGATCTGCAAAATCTCAAAAAATCTTCAGTACAATTCCACACAGCCCAGCTTCTCTGCCACATTTCTTGGCTCACACCTGGCTGGCTACAGAACAGCTGGCATATCAGAAGCAGAAAAGAATCCAAGATCTCCAAGATTCCTTCTACAATAAAAAGCTGGTGCCAGGACTGAGCTACATTTCACTCTCCCAACTCCAACAACCAGCAAAAAAGGAGTCATTTTCTCTTTGATAGAAAAATCAAACTGATTCTCACTCTTCTTGTGAGTACTATGCCATCACAGGCTGGAAATCTATCTGGGCATGGCTAACAGTCAAGACTTTTTTTGCCAACCCTGTGTATAACTATCTGTATCTATCTGATTTTGCTCTGGCACATTTGTTCCTGGCTTACATTGAGACAAGAAGACGGGGAAAGAAAAAGGAATGAATCAAGGTGAGGGTTTTGGGATACACCAAAAAAACTTCACACTTAAAATATTTTTTGGGGAGAAGCACTGGATTAATTCCTTTATAATCCAAGACAAAGCCACAGTTTCTACAACTTGAACTGTCCTCAAGGCTGTTCATAGCAATGCCACAAATATTTATCCATCACAAAACTCAAAGGAGAAGAGTGAACCAAGCCAGATGAGGTACCTAGCACAAGTTGCTGAGGACCCATGGAAATGGGCACCCCTTTTCTCCCCCACAGTAACAATTCACAAAGTTCCCCCATCTAGATGGGAATGGGCCCCATTTTACATCCCCTTGATCTCCAAAACAAGGAGTGGAGTACCTTGTGACTCATCTTTGGCTTCCTCACCCACCTCTCTACTCTCCTTGCAGTCACTGCCCCATTTCTTTCCACCTGCCTCAAATGCATTTGAAGAGTCCTTTTGCAGTAATGTGAAATAGTTTCTAAAGCCAGCACTCCACAAAATTTTCCTCATTTCTGACTACATTTTAGCTCATTCCTGGTGGTTTTTATAGCTCTCCCAAACCTCTCCTTACTGAGCCAGCTGTACTGTTACAAGCCACCTATTTATTGCTCACACTACCTTTACATGCCCATTTAACTACATTGGCCTCAGAAGAGCATTAAACAATAAGAACTTCAGCCAGCAGACTCTCTGCCTCTCCTGAATTTTAAACAAGCTTGATTAACCTGAAACCAGTGATGTTAAGCATCCCTACTGAGAGCCCTGAGGGGTCTCTGCTCTGCTCCCTGCTCCTCTTTCACTCATGGATGCCCATCTTTTATTTAGAATGGAAAGATGGTATGTAAGAGAGAAATATGGACCTGTGAGTCCCCACATCTAACACTACTCACCTACAATGGTGTTTTCCCACACAGGGTGAGTTTAAACTGGACAGAATACAAACTTGGGAGAAGCATTTCTCTAAAACTACCACCTCTCCCTCATGCTGTCTAATACTTCACTTATATACAGGTTAGATGTTTTCATTGTATTTTGTTATGTTTCCTAAAATAGCCCAGCAAGAAAAAGCAATTAAAGGCAACTAAATGCTCATTTAAGCCTGCAATAATGGAAGAATGAGACCATTACCTAATACTGCCATTAGTCCATATACAGCATCATGGATCATAGAATGTCCTGAGTTGGAAAGGATCCACAAGGCTCATCAAGTTCATCTAACTCCTGTCCCTGCACAGGACAACCCCAAGAATCCCATCATGTGCCTGAGAGTGTTATCCAAATGTTTCTTTAACTCCAGCATGCTTACATTGCATTTCACTCTTTCCTCAAATTCCTCAAAAATACCCATTATCTCTAGGGCTGCTTGGAACACCAAACCCAGCCACAGGTCACTGCTTGCTCACTTTGCTCACAACTAGACTTAACTTCCACACTCTGATGCAAAGAAACTGGGAACTCACATGCTGAAGGAAGGTGTACTAGCAGGAACATTTCTTGCCTTACCCTGAATTCCATTGAAGAGGAATTTTTGTTTTAAAAGTATCATAGAATAGTTTGAGTTGGAAGGGACCTTAAAGATCACTGTGTTCCAATCCCTTGCCATGAGCAGAGCCACCTTCCACTGGATTCTCTGTGCAGCCTGTTTCCAGTGCCTCACCACCTTTGCAATAAAGAATTTATTGCTAATATCTAATCTAAACATTTTCTGTCAGTTTGAATCCATTCCCCCTTTGTCCTGTCAAACAACTGGCCTGTTGCAAGGAGGTCAGAGGACTCCTGATTAATGAGTGGCTGTGGGACAGGTAAGAGAAACCCAGTGCACAGAAGTGATACTGATCAGCCCCCTAGACCACCCTGCCAGGTAAGGCAGCATCTGCAGTCCAAGTCTCTCTGTACTCTTCCCTACCACTCTGAAACACCACTCCTCCAGGTGCTAATTCTATTGCACTGTTCATTCAACACAACACCTCTGCAAAAGTGCCTCTTCCATGCAAAGTGCATGCTGACAGAACTCACCCAGCACTTCAGTGCTACAGAACTGCCACACAAAGTCCCACTTCACCCATTTATTCCAGCTCCTGTAGCAAAAAGCACTAGAAAGCTGGGGGAATCAACTGAGTGGTCCAGCCCCAGTAAATCCAGAGTTGATACACTGATGCCTTCACAAGAGTTGTCTACCTCTCCAATTGACCTCAGAGCCACTGTAGTTTCTAATACATTGAAAATGGATTCTGTATGGATTCAATAGAATTTTATGCCTCAAGTGATGCACAATTTTGAATATTCAGCCAGTTCATTCCCATATGGACTGAAACATCTGTTGTTAGCTATCAGTCCTGTAGAAGGGTGAGGTGTTTCTAAAGAAAACACCATATAATAATTAACTGAAACCTTGAACTTACACCTTTTGGTGTAATTTGCCCCATAACTTCCATTCCAGACTAGACAAAAAGTGTGTTTGCTTAGCTAATAAGACCATTTAGCCAAGCAACCCCCTTGCTTAGGGTTCAGACAAATTTCCTCTGGTTCATGTCTCTAGGTAAGCCCTGTTATCTGCAGCAAGTTATCTCTGCATGCCAAACACATCTATTAAACAACAGAAGTTCACTGTTACCTTGATGCTCAACAGTCTGGTACCTGTCCTTGAGAAACTCCAGTGATCAGCAGACACATTGCAAAACTTCAATCTGCCTTTCAAAGTCTTCACCACTTTGCAAGCTGTCAAAATTCTTGTCATCTTGAAAGCTGCTGATGGGTAACTAAAGTTTAAAGCACAGAAGAGAAAACAAAAATCTGCTTGTATGGATTTCTTCAAGAATTGGTGCTGACAATATACTCCTGTAGATCACAGGGGAAGAGCACAGAGGCACAGCAGGAGCACTGAAGTGACTGTACAGCACTGCCCTCCACCTCCCATTTATTCTGCCATTAAAAGTCCCAGGTGCAGCCCCACCTCCTCCCAGCCCTCCTCAGAGGGGTGCTTGCTGCTTAGGCACCCTTGCAACACTTCTCCTCCTCAGGCTGCTCTCTGAGCACTGTCACAGGGGCTTTAACCCCACCTGGAAGATAGCAAAGCCTGAAAGAGAAATCACCCCAAGAATACAAGAGCATGTGGTGGCAGGACAAGGGGGAGTGGGTTCAAACAGAGAGAGCAGGTTTGGATTAAATATTAGGAAGGAATTTTTCCCTTTGTGGGTGGGGAGGCCCTGGCACAGCTTGCCCAGAGAAGCTGTGGCTGCCCCATCCCTGGAAATGTCCAAGGCCACATTGGACAGGGCTTGGAACAACCTGGGATAGTGAAAGGTGTCCTTGTCCATGGCAGGGGGTGGCACTGGATGATCTTCAACATCCCCTTCCAACTCAAAGCATTCTATGATTCTGAACAGCACAGGCTGTGCACAGTGTGGTTTTGAGAGCTCTCAATGTGGGGTCTGCACACTGGCTGTGGGACAGTCTGTGGCTGCCACAAAGATGTGAAGCAGGAAGACCAAATCCCATGGAAAGATGAAATCTTTATGCTGTGTTTGTTCCAGGTTCCAAAGTGCTGTCTGTCCTCAAATAAATAAAAAATTTTTCACAACAAAAAAAAATAAATGGTTGCAAAAGAAGAACATCTTTTGGTAACATTTCAATGGGTCAACACATGAAAAAAGGTGAAATTTTCCACATGTTATTCCCCAACTATAGATCTTTGTGACTATAATATTTTGCCTATAACACTTCACTCTTCATAAAGAATAATACTCCTCATTAGCCAGAGATGAAAATGCCTCATTAAGACAAAAGCTGGGAGAGAAGTATGCCCATTTATTATTCTTCAGGAACTAAAAAGAAGAGGCATCTTTTGAAGCCCAGGTGATCAAAGTCTTAATTGGCTCAAAGCAATATACACCCAGATTTCTTTGTGCAGCTGGACACATTCTGCTGTAAAGGATTCTGCAAAGGATTTAGGTGACTTAGTCAGTGGCATTAATAGTCATGACTTCTTTTTATGCAGTGGTTTGAGATTAGTCTAAATTGACACCAGTACCACACAAAAATATTTCCTGTGCAGCTCATTATATATTCACCAGGCTGAACAGTCATGAACAGCATAAAAGATAGAAGAGAGGGGAAAGGGTTTGGGTACCCTGCATCACATGAAAAGCTTTTTGGATATTTGAAAGAGAAACACATAGAAAAGGCCCAAATCCAGATGATTGGAAAAGATAGACAGAAATAGGGCAGAAAACAGCCTGGGTGTAGAGAAGCTCACTGCTTCAACATTTTGCAGGTGTGCAGAGACAGGAGAACCAAGCCAACAGTAATTCCTGATAACTGTGGTTTAGGACATAATTTTTTCTATAAGAACATATCTGGCAATCATTCTGATTTGTTGAAGCAGCTTGAAAGGCACAGATTTTGCTTTTTGCAAACAAAAACAAATAAATACAGGGGACTGGAAAATGTATTTGTTAGCTCTTCCTCCATTTGCTTGGTTCTAGTCTGTAGTGATCCAGAAGCCAAAGCCACGCCTATAAGTGACTGGACTCCAAAAACCTCTACTTTGAACAAGAAAGGTCATCTTAATATCCAAACTCATGTGAGCTCACACATGCAGTTCAGCTTTCTTCCAAAGTCACATTATGCTAGCTTTAAACTGCCAGGAGTACAATACACAGCACTTGGAAGGTTTTTTGTTATGGCTGTGCTGAACAGGAAATTCCACACTCCATTTTACTCTCTGCCAACATCAGGGAGTGACTTTGGACCCTGGGATACATGTTTGAACCAGAACCAAACCATGCTGACAGTTTCAGCACCCTAACTGCTAATTCCTAACTTCCCTCTCCCACCATAGGTGCTGCACCATGAAGCTGCTGGATCCACATAAAAATTCACCCCTTCCTTCCACCACGAGGCCATGGATGAGCACAGGGCATCAGGAATGAGAGAAAATGGACCATGCCTTTTGGCAGAGTGGCACTGTGCAGCTGCAAACAGCTGCATAACCACATGCACCCTGTATTCAGTGTGCCAGGGATCTGCTGGACACATACACACCTCATGTGGCAGCTGTATGATAAGGATTAAATGTTATATGGGTGAACCACAGGGGAAAAAAAGAGTTTCCTTTATCACCTACAGAGCAAGGATATTCCACTCATTACTGCTCTATATTTGACCCTGCTGTCTTCCCTATTTTATTATCAAAATTGATTAAATCCACCTCAGACCTTCTGAGTTGAAGAAGGTTATAACTCCAGTATAAGATTTTTAAAGCCTCCTCCATGATAAAGGAATTCCCCTCTGCCAAAACCAAAAGAAAACATCCAAGCTATTTGTCTCTCTGCCAACATGCTAAAAAAAGGTCACAAACTATTGACACCTTAAGGCCAGAAAATTTATATACATTCCCTAAAGAAGCCTCAGCTCTGGAAAACCTGTTAACACACAAACAAACCTCCTGTGATATGGATAGATTTTAAAGTATGCACTTTTAAAGACCAGAAAAGGCAGAATCACTAAGAGATGGAATCAATAGGGGAAAAAAACAAAAATAAAAAACAACTAAGGAATAGTGGAAAAAGAGCAGAGACCCATGGTTTTATGAAAATGCAATCACACTGCCTAAGCTTAGAACTTGCCAGCCAGGACATGACTTCCAATTGTAGCACCCCTACAGAAAGTTTCTGGAAGAAGGATGTCAATCAGAGAAATCAGGAATGGCAGAAGAGTCACTCAGACAAGAACAGTTCAGGTACTGGGGGAGAAAGGTGGGAAATTGCAATTCTGGCTCACAGAAAGGCAGAGTGCCTTTTGCTTCATATTCAGTTACACTATTGTAGAGAGAGAGAGACTGGGGGAAGGAGAGCAAAAAGCTCAGTAAAATAAGGAACTTTTTGTTATTATTTACAAGTGGAAAACCCCAGAAACAAAATTCATCACACAGCCCCACTGGACCATTAAAAATGAAACAAAATCAGTGGTCTGTGGCTTTGCAAATCCCCAGGGACAACAGATTCAAAGAATGGCAAGTGCCTACATTTTGAGAGGTTTAAAACAAAGTGCTTGATCTTGAGAAGTGCTCAGAGGAGATGGGGCCCTGCTTAGATGCCCCAGAAGAGGTGCCCCAAAATGGGAGCACCTAAAGCCCTTTGTCACAGGTGGGAAGCTCTGCTTTAAGTAACCAAGCTAAGCAAGGTTTTTCATTTTCAAGTTTTCTGTAAAAAGCACAAGATAGTTCCAGTCTTGCTTGAGAGACAAGAGATCAGGGCAAATCTGTGAGCATGTTGGGCCAGATTCACATCAGTGCAAGTCCCAAGTAATTGCCTTCAGCTCAGTGGAGCTTCAAGTGGCATAAGTCTCCCCTGAATTGGGACAAATGTAACAAGCAGCCCACATAAATTGATTGGACTCTTATTTCTTATGGGTGAAACCAGAGAAAAGCTTTTTCCCTCCATATGTCCTTCAGATACTTTTGGAAATCTCTCCTGCCATATTTCAGATTATGTCTAATACCTGACCACCCTGTCTTGTCTCCACTAAATTACATTTGAAAAATATTGACTGCAAAAGCAGAATAGTTGAAAATTCCAGCAAAATTGCAATTCTCTGCCACCACTGGGAAGAAAACAAATATTCTCCTCTACCTGTACAGCTCACACAAAACCCGTTAAAGTGATTTTGAAACTCTCTCTTCCATGTCAAGGCAAGCTACACTTGCTTCCCAAGGAACTTATAATGAAGAGTTTTGAAAACACCTGAAAATATTGAGATTTCCCATCCATTTCCTAATCAGGTGTTAGTTTATCAAGAGAGATCACTGCAGACCTAGGTAGCAATTTTTGATCAAACCCCATTACCTCAGAGACAATAACTTACTTTTTCTGCAGTATATAGTGGGGGAATAAACAAAGTTCTCTTGTTCACATGCAAATGAAGTAACAGCATCCAGACATCCCCCATCTCCCAGTCCTCCTGGATTGCTGCAGGAGAGAAAGCTGCTTTGATCTAGTCTCAGAACAAATGAAGCATTTCAAGAAAACCCTACAATGTATGGAAAATGGCAAAACAACACAAGGTGAGAATTTCAAAACTAAGGCTGATCCTCGCCTGTGTATACAGACAGAAACCAAAAGGAATAAGAACCAGGAACAAGTCTTATCCCTCAGCTCTCCTGAATTCTGTAGTTTAAAGCCACAGCCAGAACAGGGGATTTTTTCCATGGAGTTTACTCTATTTCAGAGTGATGCCTCAGGTTTTAGCTTTTATAGTTTTCACATTCTGTGCTGCTTTAGTGTGTATTTCTGAGCTTCATATTAGGGGATGGTGAGCTCTCTTCACAGAGCAGGGAGACAAAACAATTCCTTCTCTAGCTGGGGACCAAGGACAAATGATCCAAATCTCAGGCCTAAGAGCATAAACAACGTGGACTGAAGAGAGAAAAACAAGAAGGATGGGACTTGGTAACCTAAAGCTATAATTGGACAATTAACTCCAATATGCAAATGGACCAGAACTTATAAAAGTGAGAGACCCTGTGACCAGGTGTTCATTTTGGGTTCATCTTGGGTGCAGCCCTGGCTGGGCTCTTGTGCTGCCCAAGGTGCATCCATTGAGGCCTTTTAATAAATCCCTGCTTTATTCTTTAGCTCTGTCTGGCCTCTGCTCTAGGTCAGCTTTCACAAGGCATCAAGAGGAGGTCTGGAGAAAAAAGTATTTTAAATTTTAACAGGAGAGGTTCTTAGCAGATCT